TACCTTCATCAACAGTTCAAAGATGGAATAACACAAGATATGATGAAATACATCCATTTATTTACATGATTTGTAGGTCTTTGAGATTTGGGAAATATTTTTTGTTCCATGTTTCATACATGGTCTGTTTAAAACATATGGAAGTTTAGAACCAAAAATGGTACAGAAAAAAGGTCAACAGTTTCATAAACTAGAGTACATATGTATCTGTTCAATACATTTTTATATCAGATGCATTAACTTGAATTTTTGGCCTTGCTGTTTACTTCTGCTTGACCGGGCCCAGTAGTATTGCCATAGTTGCAGTAAGTAAGTAGTAGTAGTAGTAGTAACAGTATAGGGATGGGACGATAACGGGTATTAAAGTATATCACGGTGTTGAAATATCATGGTATCAATATCGTGAGGATGGGCTTCTGATGGTTATGACACCTCATTTATTTGACGTGTGTGTGGAAAAAGCAGCACTTCTCACAGTAGTGCCATTTGCCCCTTAACGTGCTCTTGATGTGGTCCTTGTGCCTGCACTGTCTCCTCCGCTCCCCGCTTGACCCACACTCACACCCACCTTGTACGAGTTAAGAGCTAACCCGCTGCCATCACGATAAAAGTATAATAGCCTAAAAGTTCAGAGCCAATATACTGGCAGTGTCTGTGTATGAGACATCCATAGTAAAGAAAGGAGGTGCTTTTCCATTGCATCAACAGGACACATGGACTTCACTGTTTTACTCACGCTGTGGAGTTACTTGTTACTTGTTAAAATGCGCTTATTTCATGCGTGTACTAAATATATAACAATAGCCAAGGATCTGTGAAACAAGTTGTGTCTTTTGCGCTGAGAAAATGCGCCTTTCAAAACAGCAATTAAACTGAATGGGTGTGTTTGAAAAGGGAAAATAAAAAGCACATGGTTTTGTAAAAGACTAGAGTGGGATTTTGAGAGTGGCACCTCACATCATCGTCCTCAGTGTTTTCTTCTGCACATTTTCTTTCCTCAAACTTAGCCCAAATGGCTCAGAGAAGGAAATGTTGCTCCTATATCCACTTTGTTTAGCTGCTCGCTGCGCCAGATGTACACAGCTGAGTGACGTGCACGTGAATGACATTACGTCGTATGCAGGTAATTGATGAGCAGATGCACATTACAGACTCAGCAACATTCACATATTCTATCATTATATTTGGTTAAACTGAATATCAAAAGCCCACAGTATTTTTCCAATCATATTTACTTAATTATATTTTTATTAGTGCTGTCATGCGACTAAAAAAATTGAGAGATTAATTAATTATGATCTGTAATTAATTAATCTAATTAATCTCATTTTAATCTCACCTAAAAATTGCTGAGAAAAGCCTTCAATTTGAGGTATTTTCATTTAAATTCATTATTACATTATTGTGGCAGATCAAAAGACTGATATAGAACAAAAAAAAGTGACTTTATAAAGTCATTTATTGTTTAACAAATCTCTCCAATTTGGCTGTTGAGCCCAAGTCTCCATGAATAAGAAACTGTTTGCTGTAAAGTAGCAAAGACGAGGAAATCTGAACATAATAACTTTTGTCTACTTAAAGACAATAAAAAGTCCAGTCTTTCCTTAACCATATTAAAAATATTATTGATAGAAAAATGCTTTATATCCGAGATCACTGGTTTTAGTCCTAGTTTAGTCCTGGAAAGGGTTAGTCCTGGTTTTAGTCCTGGTGTTAGTTCTGGTTTAGTCCTGGTTTAGACCTGGTTTAGTCCTGGTTTTAGTCCTGGTGTTAGTTCTGGTTTAGACCTGGTTTAGACCTGGTTTAGACCTGGTTTTAGTTCTGGTTTAGTCCTGGTTTAATCCTGGTTTAGTCTTGGTGTTAGATCTGGTTTAGAGGCGCACAGGAGGAGGCGCGGTTTACGCAGCGTACGCGAGAAAACACGATCCACACGCGGCTCACGGGAGCACGTCGGTGTCCGCGCAGTGTCTACGGAAGGAAACGTGGTCCGCGCGTTCTCAGGTTAATGACGATGATGAAGGTGTGTGTTTGTGTTTGTGTGTGTGTTTGTGTGTGTGTTTGTGTGTGTGTGTGTGTGTGTGTGTGTGTGTGTGTGTCCCTCATGTGGCAGGTCATTATAGGACAGTAGTGCAGACTACTCGATTAATCGATAATTGATCATTAAGAATTTCATCGATTACGTTAATTTTAATCGACAAACCGAATGTAGGTTGCTGTGTGTGTCGTGACCAAACAGGTCTGTACATGTGTCTCTGCACTCAGAAGGAGCGAGCAAACACAAACAGTAGGTCAGTCTGCAGCGTGCCGAAGCACAAATGTGTATTTAACGATGATTTGTACAAGAAATTCCACGCTTTCTGTTGCGTTCGGGACAAGTGTGAGTCCCTGTGCACAGTGTACAAAGCAGCACATATGTTTCGGTGTCCAGTGGGAAAAAGCTTTACCAGGTGAGAATCGCGCAATGTCGATGATGAGTCCCCACCTCCCACCCCCCATACAGTGTCCTGGTTTTGACAAACGCAAATATGGTCACACTAACCTGTATTCCACTGAATCATGTCTTTTAATCCGACAGAAATTGACCGCATCAGCGACACAAGAGTACTGTATTTTTATCTTCGCTGAGTTTATGCAAATTAGCGATGCGGTTTTAAGTTTCGTTTCTGTGAGAGTTGCACAAAAATGAATTAAACACGTTATAATGTCAAACGGATTGATGTGGCTCTAGAGTCGTTACGGTTTATATGTCATAAAGTTGAATTTATTTATGCAGATTAGTAGTGCAGATAGTAATAATAATGATGATCATTTTAATATAAAAACGTTAATGATTAATCGATAATCGATCGTTAATTTTTCCGACGATTGATTAAGAAAATTTCATCGAATGCCCAACCCTAGTGCAGACATCATGAGTCTATGTAGGTTGTTTTCACCAGTGACATTTAAGTTGTAGGCGATATTATATTTGTTATTTTCTTTTATATTTCACGTCAGGAGAAGAATTTCCAAGACATGAATGTGTTTTTACCTGTGCACTGCTGCCTCTGTTCTACTGGCTCTTCCACCTCGTCTATTGTGCGACTGACGCCGCCAACGTTAACATGACGTTTACATCGCTCTTACTGCACGCGTTTTGTGTGGGTTTCCAGCAATGAGTGGAATTACCGAAATAAAAATATGTATAAATGTGTTTTTTTGTGTGTGTGTTGTTGTCCCAACAACACATAAAACAGGTTTTATAATAAAGCAACTCACATACAGAAACACTAAAATTAGAGATTAAAAATGAGATTAACGCGATTAAAAAACATAACGCGCTAAATATGACTGTAATTAATTAATCGCAATTAACGCGATAATTTGACACCCCTAATTTTTATAATAGGGTACTGTACCTAACTGCAGCTTTGCCCTGATATGAACTGATCTGTGTTTCACCAAAGCAGGACATAACCAAGGAGCAATATATCATATATAAGCAATATACTAGGGCTGGGTATCATTAAGAAGTTGCCGATACGATACATACTTTGATACATAGGCTACGATATGATACATATCTCGATACAGTGGACTTTCGATTCGATATGATATCTTTCAAATCTTTCATTTCAGGCCTCTTCTTTGACGCTGTTTAAATCCAGGCTCAAAACGGTTCTGTTTCACTGTGCATATGACTGAAAGGTTTTCATTCCGCACTCTTCTCTTTAATTTATGTAATTAATGCCTCTCTCTTTTAATTTTAATCTTTAAGTTTATGATGATTATTTATGTTTTGATTTGTTTTTATTGTGATTTTAATGTATTTCTTATTCTGTAAATCACTTTGAATTACTTTGTGTACAAATTGTGCCATACAAATAAACTAGCCTTGCTTTGCCTTCAAATCGATTTGATACGGTTCAATAAAAAATAATGTCTAAATCATAATCATGGCTGTGATACTAAAAGTCTTTGTTAAACCACTTCTTGTTCATATAAAACACAAACATTTTAATCATCAAAACAGTGAAAATGTCAAATATGTCACATAAACAAGTTTCCTTCCTCTGAACAAGCAACAAAACTGTAGCTGTAACAAAATAATTTACTAAAATATACCACAAAACACTCTTGGTGATATATCGATACAGCAGTACCTGATATCGATACTGTATCAACACATTAAATGATACAATATATCAATATTTCAATATTTTTGCACACCCCTACAATATGCTAACACCTTTATTTAAAAAATCCCTTCTTCTTCTCGTGAAGCTTTATAAATTATGCAACTCCACAATATACCATGATACTGTGGTATTTCTGGTCACAGTTATCATACAGATAAAATGTCTTACTGTCCCGTCCCTCTGGCAGTATTTGGACTTTGATTCCTGTTGTTCTAAATGGAGGTAATGTCTCACTTTGAGTCGTTTTTCACAGGCTTCAGTGACAGCTCTGAGCAGCCCCAGGTCTAAACTCATTATTCTCATAATCAGAGCCATTTGCATATTCATGAGCTCATTTACATATTCATGAGAGCAGGGAGGAACTATCGACACAATCAGGGCAAAACTTACAGTAGAGCCCTGTCGTTTTAAAACAACATCTACTGAAGGAAACGACTGCCCTAAAACCACACTGTAAAAAACACATCAGCTCATGAAGAAATTTGAAATTCCAAAAAAGTTTTTGTGTCCAAGGGCATTCGCTTTGATTAAGGATTGTCTGTCTCTGGTGTTGGGAAAGTAAAATGTAATAAAACTTGGTGCCATTGTCTTTTTCAATAATTAAAAATTTTCATTTAAAAAGGTTGAGAAGAACAAGAATTTCAAGTAACAGTTTTGTAGTGACATAATTGCACCATTGTGTTCTTTGTCACTTTTTAATGAGTTTTCTACGACCCCCCCCAAAGCTCCCGATCATTCAGTGTGCATGTCCTCTGTGTTACTGTGGCAGAGTGGTTGTCCTCCCTGTCATCAGGAGGTTGCGGGTTAGATTAGTTAGATTACCTTGACAGACGTCTCGGGGAGGTAGTGGGGGTTCCTGAGCTTGGTGGTGATGTAGAACCTGAAGTCTGGGGAGTACTCGATGGTGGAGTCTCCCAGGCGGATGCACACAGCTCCTCCCTGTTTGAAGGTCTGTCTGAGCAGGAGAGGCTCCAGGATGGGGTCCAGCTCCTCGCCAACGTTCTCCAGAAGAACTGCACCAAAAGCACGGGGTTAAAATGGAGACAACAGGGCTGACAAAAATGTACTTGTGATGCTTTCAAAGTTCGTTTTACTGGTAGTTTTCAGATTCTAGAATGTGATGATGTCATAGTCTGAGCTGAGGGGCAAAAGACGGATTCCCTGTTCATCACATTGTACTTTGCCATGAAATATCCAAAAGGTAAACGCACAAATGTTGAACCTGATCATTTGTATGAATGAACAGACCCAAGAACTCACAAATCTGCATTCTAACAAAAGCCATTTTGTCTGGCCCCATCTCTATTAAATATGACTGGACTATAGAATGTTGTGATGACATCTACACCCCACTAATCCATGAAGGTTTTTATGGTCAAAAGTCCTCGAAATGGCACCCGTAACAGGAAAAGGTCACAACACTGAAACTTATGAGCGCTCTAACACTTAGTCTGAGACACTGTGTTTTAGTGCACTCCTTGACTCCTCCCTCCAGAATCACACTTGTTTGATGCCACAGCTGCCCTGGGACAAATCCATGCATTCTGTGGCTTAAGTGTCCCCCTCCACTATCACTCAAACATTCATAAAAGAGGGAAGAATGGGAGTACATTCATGAGGAACACGGCGTTTGTGCGGAGGATGTGCATGGTTACTCAAACATGAAAAAAAACCCACAGCTCTAGGTAAGTTTTTAATGAGGATACATTACAACAGATTTAAAGGCTCAAAAACACTGGATTTAGTAGAATATCAGAAGAACAAAGCCTACTACAAAGTTTGGAATTTGGTATTTTAACAATTGTTTTACATCTGTTCCTCTTTAGGTGAGGAGTCTGTATTTGCACACTTAAAAGAGGGTAGTTTACGTCTGTGGGGTATTAATTGCCAACACTTAACATATTTCCCTTTTATTGTTTGTTGCACATCACATCAGGTTTGCCAAGTTGTTGTGTATTGTTTTGTCATGTTTTTGTGGAGCAAAAATGACACAGGCGTGTGGGCGAAGCATACTTCTAACTGAAAGGAGGGTTCAAATAGGGCCCGGGAGAGATCACTGGATTACTCAAACATGCACAGATGCCATCTAAGACCTCTTCAGGCATGTTTTTGATGAGGGAACGTTTGATTGTAGAAAGATCTGAAAGGTTCATTTTTCATTTTGTGTAAGAGCACTCTTCTTGTACTCAGTGTTGGGGAGTAACAGATTACATGTACCAGAGTTACGTACAAATTATGAGTAACTGTATTCAGTTACAGTTACTGTTTCAGTGAGCGGTAATTGGATTACAGTTACTTGGTTGAAATAAATTGATTACACAGAGGTATTTTCCTGTTTTCACATTTTGGGCTTTTTTTTTTTTTTTTCGGTAATTCCACTCATTGCCGGAACCAGGTCTAAACTAAATCTTAACCAGATCTAAACCAGGACTAAATCAGGACTAAAACCAGGTCTAAACTAGATCTAAACCAGGTCTAAACCAGGTCTAAAACCAGGTCTTAACCAGGTCTAAACCAGGTATAAACTAGATCTAAACTAGATCCAAACCAGGTCTAAACCAGGTTTAAACCAGGTCTAAAACCAAGACTAAACCAGGACTAAAACCAGGTCTAAACCAGGTCTAAAACAAGTCTAAAACCAGGTCTAAACCAGGTCTAAAATCAGGTCTAAACCAGGTCTAAACCAGGATTTAACAGGACTAAATCATGCTGTGCGGACGTGTCTCCTCATCTTATGTTGCGATATCCTCATTTTTGCTTCTCTACAGTAAATCAAGTAATCCAAAGTATTCAGATTACATTACTCACCTTAAGTAACTTAATGGATTCTGTTACAAACTACATTTTGGGGTGTGTAATCTGTAATCTGTAGGGGAATACAGTTTAAAAGTAACCTTCCCAACACTGCTTGTACTGCTGCTGAGCTCCTTTCTTTTGTTTGCCTTGTTTTGTTTTGCTCCTTTCTCTTCACCTGTCTCCCTGCTCCTGTCTTTGCCCCTCTCTCTCCTCCTGTCGCTCTGGCCCTGCCTCTCCGCTCCTGCCTCTGCCCCTGCCTCTCCGCTCCTGCCTCTGTCCCTGCCTCTCCGCTCCTGCCTCTGCCCCTGCCTCCCGCTCCTGCTCTGCCCTGCCTCTCCGCTCCTGCCTCTGCCCCTGCCTCTCCGCTCCTGCCTCTGTCCCTGCCTCTCCGCTCCTGCCTCTGCCCCTGCCTCTCCGCTCCTGTCTCTGCCCCTGCCTCTCCGCTCCTGATTAATCTGGTAATGATCCTTAGAGGTAATGCAAGCGTGTGATGAGCTTTACAATCTGCCATAACTGTGGAATCCGAGTGCTCCCCTGGGCTCTGCCGCTGTACGACTGCTCCGATGTGTTTTTAATGGACTCCACTCGTGCACATTCACAAAGCCCACACCGATGCACTGCTCCCCCAGGCTGTTGCTGTGCTGGGCCAGTTAATTAGGCCAATATACGTGAGGCTAAAACAATAAAACATCATGACTGTCAAATATTAAACCAGGGCGAGTGTCTTTAATGTCAGTTTGACCTGATAAAAGTGACTGGATGTGATCGAGATAATAATGAATGGGATTTGCATATTGACATAACACTCTTGATGCTGATAGTAGTGAGCTGGTTAAAGGTAAGATTCCCCCTAAGGTGTGTCTGAGAGAGGAGACAGGAGAGGAAAGAAAAGAGGAGAGCAGAGAGGAGAGAGGAGGCTTGGTGCTTTCTGTGTCACTGCAGATCAGGACAAAGGCTGTTTTTAAAATACGAGCTGTCAGAGAGCAAGAGTGCCCCCCACAGGCAGCACAAAGTACTCACACTGTTGCAGAGACGCTTGAAACAGGAGAAGAGAAACTGTTGTTCATTGCTCATGAGTAAATGAGTGCCCAAATGATTATTGTATCTGCACCTAAGGTATAACCAAGATGTAAAATGCACCATAGGAGAACATACAGTGCACACCACCCCCACAGTGTGATTCCCACCATTTACAATCAAATCGAAACTAAACTGCTCATTAAGAGTTAAAAGGTAAAGGCTAAGCAACTCATGCCCATATTATGAATCATTTACCAACAACTAATTATAAATAATACATGTACATCTTATCAATAAAGTGGAATATAAATTTTTGTTTATTTGTCACTTTGTGGTTATTCGAGAGGGTGTACATCTGCGGGGTATGGAGTAAGCTTTCGTTATATTTCAAACATGTGTCTTTAACATAATGCATCTTGGCAATGAAGGTGAAAAGTAGAAAATAAAACACACAAAACACAACAATATACATACATACATACATACATACATACATACATACATACACATACATACACACATACATACATACACACACACATACATACACATACATACACACACACATACACACATACATACATACATACATACACATACATACACATACACACATACATACATACACACATACACACACACACACACACACACACACACACACACACACACATACATACGCACATACATACATACATATACACACACATACATGCATACATACACACACATACATACATACACACACATACATACATACATACATACACACATACACACACATACATACATACATACACACACATACATACATACACACATACATACATACATACACATACATACATACATACATATAATATATATATATTCCATTGCTGTTCAAAAGGGAGTGGGGTGAGGTGTGACCTTATAAGCTCCCATCCCTCTAATAGTAATACTAATAATACTGATGAAAAACACTCACTTCCTGTGCTGATTCATTACAGCCAAATGTGCCGATCCTCAATCCCAATGAACCCATTTTTGTACACTTAATCTTTTTGGGGGGCATTTTAAGTACAACTTCAATACTGCTCACCTCTAGTGTGATTATTACCCTTGTTCCAACCTATAGCTGTTAAATACCTCATGTTTGAATAATAGTTTGAAAGAGTGGATTTGTAGACAATGATTTAAATCTCCCTTTAAATTATTCCACAGTTTAACCTCGCATACCGAAACACAGAAACTTCTTGTTGTTGTTCTTGTTCTGGGTTGATTGAACATGCAAGTACCCCTCAGAATACAGACCCCTCATCTGTAACTAAACAGATTTTGAAGATTAGGTGGTAACGCATTTTTACTCACTTTAAACATGATTTGCTCTCTTTGCAACTGAATAAGACTATATAGTTTTAACAGTTTTTTGTAGAAAAAGTGAATTTGCGATCCCTGTATCCTACTTTGTGAATAATTCTTAGCTCTTTTTTGAAGAATACTGATGGAGTGTAATGTAGTCTTATAATTGTTTCCCCAGATTTCAATACAGTATAGTATAGTAGAACTGTTAACACATAACATAGAGTTTAGATCCCCCTTTAATTGTTTTGGAAATGCTAATATTCTATATGAAGCAACATAATGAGATGTTTTATAGGTTTTGTTTTTGCTCCCTGTTTTAAGTGAGAACAAACAGACAGAGGACATAATAATGACTGAAAGTGTGTGTGCCGGTGCTTGTGATGTAAAGCAGGTTTGTTAGCTGCTGGTGTTTGTACCTGGAGTTCCAAACTGGATGCAGTTCTCCAGAGTCCTGACAAAATCACTGTCGCTGAGTTTGATGACGTGCAGACTGTTGGCCTTCTCCATGTTCTTCACCCATTTATTGGCCTGGCCCTGAGGATCGATCATCAGAGGCCACCGCCGCGAGTTTCTGTTCACCACAACGTATCACAGTAAGGAGGAGACAGGAGCAGACAGGTGAAGACAGGAGCAGACAGGAGCAGAAAGGAGGAGACGGGAGCAGAAAGGAGACAAGAGGAAATAGGAGCAGAGGGTGCAGAGGAGAGGGTCAGATGGGAAGACGATACACAGAAAAGGGTCGGAGGACCAGATGATACACAGGAGAGGGTTAGAGGAGAAGAGGAGAGGGTCAGGGGAGATGAGGAGAGGGTCAGAAGAGAAGAGGAGAGGGTCAGAGGAGCAAATGAGAGGGTCAGAGGAGAAGAGGAGAGGGTCAGAGGAGAAGAGGAGAGGGTCAGAGGAGAAGAGGAGAGGGTCAGAGGAGCAAATGAGAGGGTCAGAGGAGAAGAGGAGAGGGTCAGAGGAGAAGAGGAGAGGGTCAGAGGAGAAGAGGAGAGGGTCAGAGGAGCAAATGAGAGGGTCAAAGGAGAAGAAAAGAGGGTCAGAGGAGCAGAATGGTGGGTTTCTTCTCACGATATGATGATGGCGTTGTCGATGGAGAAGCTGTCTGAGGGCAGTCCTGCGATGGTCCAGGCCCTGATCTTCACAGGGTTTCCCAGGGAGTTCATCAGGGACATGTGCTGGGAGCAGGGGATGGCTCTGGACTTAAACTGAGACATCCACTCCTGTGTCTGCTCCTGCAAAGACACATTGACAATATCTGTATTGTCTCTGCAAAATGTGCCCTCTGCATTTGACCCGTCCTTCAGTGTCTCTGCGTTAACCCTGTCAGGAGCAGAGGACCAGATCTGAGCCCGGATCCTGGTCAGGGATGGCTAAAGGATTAACCCACTATGCTCGCTGAATGACTTTGGTAGACAAATGCTGCAATTCCTGATTTCTGTCTTAGCTCTGAGAGTTTAAAGGGACAGTATGGAAATTTGGAATAAGTAAAACCAGTCTTGCATTCAAAGGGTTTATGACGGAGTAGAGCAGCAGCAGCAAGTTGAACTTCCTGAGAGAAAGCTCGGCAGCAGCAGACTGATATATGAGAAAATAGTCCCTCAACAGTAGATCTTTCATATAATACAAGGTTAGTTTTATTTCAAACATGATTCTATCAACACAGACATTCACATGGACAGTCTGGTGTAATAATAGATTTGTTTCGGGTGTTTTGTGGAGTGGACTGTTTTTAGTGGCAGGAGAACTATGACCATTGACATGCACTAGTCTAACACCAGTGACCTATGCAAATACAAGGACTGGATGGAATATTTCAAAAAGTGTCTCCACACGTCTCCAACACTCTGGATCACGAGGAAATGAGGCCCTATGTCCAAAATTCCAAACTGTCCCTTTAACTGAGATGGAGCGAGTCATGTGGGGCGGCTGTAGCTCAGTTGGAAGAACATTTGCCCACTGATCTGAAGGTTGGTGGTTTGATTCCAGCTCTCGACATAAACATCACAGATTGAGTGGTCAGATCCACTGACCCAGAGGTTGGCTGGTGTGAATCCAGCTCCCACAGATGAATGCTGCCGTTGTGTCCTTGGGCAAGACACTTAACCCACCTTGCCCACAGTGTCTGCGTACACTGGTGTGTGAATGTGTGTGTGAATGGGTGAGTGGTTCCTTGTTGTAAAGCGCTTTGAGTGCCTTGAAGGTGGAAAAGCTATAGAAAAATGTGACCATTTACCATGTGTCCATTGTTGATCTGTAAAACTGGAGTAATAATAATTCAATTGTCTTTTTACAATCGTTAGTAGAAGTCAAAATGTGATGTTCACGGGGCAAAAGCATACATCTTACTCTACTATGACATGAGATCAAATGCACCATATATTACAAACATTTGCTTAGAGGCTGGTTTAAATAAAGCCTGATAAACAGGACATTATTATATAATCAAACCAGAGCCCTCCCAGTGGCAGGTACCTGTCTGTAGCTGGAGGTGAAGGCACCCAGATAGGCCATGATGCCTGCAGAGATGAGAATGTCTCCAGTCAGGTTTGTATAGAGTTCCCCCAGGTTCACAGCCATCTCCCTCCAGCGTGTCTTCTCTCCGCTCAGTCCTCCAATCAGCTGCTCCGCTCGCTCCAGCTTCTTAGAGCACAAGTCGACCTGCAGCAACACAACACTGTATCCAGCAATACAGCACCTTCAGCACCAACAGCACCTTCAGCACCAACAGCACCAACAGCCCCTTCAGCACCAACAGCCCCTTCAGCACCAACAGCACCTTCAGCACCTTCAGCACCAACAGCACCATGCTCAAAAAGCTCTGAAAATTACACTAGATAGCTAAATGAAGGCAGCTATTTTTTTCCGTTAGTCACTCTCATGTTTTTGTTGAAAATTATACTCAGGAGCATTATAAACAGGAGCATGAACACTCACACTGATCACAGGCTCCTAAAAATGTGCTCTTTAAATGTATTTAGTATTTTTTCATGAGTTTTTAGACGATCTTCAGACTTTTTTGTCTGTGCTTGCTAAAGGCTAATCCCAGGTTTGACTACCTCAAATTTAAGACTTTTTTAAGAGCTTTTTAAGACCACTTAAATGTAAATTAAGACCAACATCGCGCCCATTATGTGGGCAAAAAACTCCAGGTCCAGGACTGCATCTAGAATCTAAGAGCCACTGTGGAATAAACCGACACTTCCCCATGATCCATCCAACGTCTTCCTCCACTCTACTGATGCTTTACTCATTGTTATTGGCGCCAAAAACCAAAGTATTATTTGCGCATACTCCAAATTAGACGTTCATTCATGTTACATGATTTCACGTTGTTGTTGTTGTTGTTTTTTTCCTCTGTTTAACATTGTACTGCAGCCTGGTTGAGTTTACAAACAAATAGGCTAATGAAATTTAAGACCTTTGTGAAAAAGTAAGACCTGGACAACAAAATTGAAGACTTTTTAAGACCTTAATATAGGACCATGAAATTTAAGACCTTTTTAAGACTTTTAAGACCCTGCGGCTACCCTGTCCTAATGTCTGCATTATGTCACCATGGTAAGTGATGAACACTCCACCAGTAGAGAAGCATGTAGAACACCCCCAGTATGATGTCATTGCGAAGTATCAACTGGAATCTTCAATGTTACTTGTTAAGTTAAGATGCTTAAGGTGGTAAAATGTTGAGATGGTTAAGGTGGTAGGAAGTTAAGATGATTAAAAAGGAAAAATAATATATAAAAGTCAGTTCCCTGAATTCTTAATTTCGATGTGATTTCCTGGTTAAATAAAGTTTATCAACCAACAGTGAAATAGTCTGGGCATATAAATGAAGCTCAAGTGAAAATTCAGTCAGGAAGTGAGTCGAATAAAGAAATTCTTGGCCAACTAAAAACATGTCCTGTGCATTGATTGATTCATGTAGTAAAAGCAGACGCAGCGTGGCACTGGTAAAAGCCCTCAGAATGATTTAGCATCTCCCCAAACACAGAGGTACACCATCTTTATGAAAAGACAGATTAAAATGACTCCAGGAAGCTCACTCCATGTCTTCTCCTTTCTGCTGTGGACCACACCTCCTTATGATCCCAATAAAATCATAAACTGACTAATAAAAAGTTTGGTCGACTTAAACCCCATCGAACTGAAGGATTAAAGCCCTACCAGCCAACAACAGCCAGCTGCCTTTGCCTATCAACCAATCACCAGCTCAAGTCATACAGAAATACATCCACTCCGTCCTCCTGGTCATCACAGCAGCCCTCTCTGGACCGAATGGATCATTGGTTAGTACCTGGTTCTCCAGGTCTGCCTTCTTGTTCTTGTTGGCCTCTAGAGTGTCCTGCAGTTTGGCCAGTTTGTCCTGTACTTCCTTCAGAGCAGCTTGTTTCTTCCGCAGACCCTCCATAGCCACACTCAGCTCTCCTTCAGCCTGAGCCAGCTTCTCCTTCTTAGGGGCCACCACCTTTGCCGCTCTGCAGAAAACCACAAACTGTTATCAGCACTTAGACTTACATACAATAAAACACACATGTGCACAGCAGAACTTAAACTCCACATATACTACTGCACATCGGGAAGAGGTGAGGCAACTTCATTCCCCAAGCGCATTAACCAGACTCCACACTCCACAGACTCCTCTCTGTCCACGGAGAGACGGGGAGAGGAGGAGAACAGGAGAGGAAGAGGAGAACAGGAGAGGAGGAGGAGAACAGGAGAGGAGGAGGAGAACAGGAGAGGAAGAGGACACAGGAGAGGAAGAGGAGAACAGGAGAGGAGGAGGAGAACAGGAGAGGAAGAGGACACAGGAGAGGAAGAGGAGAACAGGAGAGGAGGAGGAGAACAGGAGAGGAAGAGGACACAGGAGAGGAAGAGGAGAACAGGAGAGGAAGAGGAGAACAGGAGAGGAAGAGGAGAACAGGCTTTGGTCAGACTCAGACTTATCCAGGATAAGCCTGGATTTGTTAAGCCATTTTGATGGAAAACCCCTCATTGGTTTGGTTAATCTGCAGAAATTGAGGTGACAGATAGGGGGTCCAAAAATATCGACTGACGATATAGTATCAGTATCGTGGGCTGCTGTATCAATATATTGTAACTAGTATTTTTTTGTGTATTTTACAAATGTATTTACATTTCACATATAAACTATGTAATGTTCATTCATCTTAATGATAAATATATAATGCATTGATTGAACCATGTCAAATCGATTTGAAATATTTTGTATATTTTATATATGTGACCTCAGAATAAATAAAAACATAAAAAAGCATCTTCAGTTGAGCATTCTGTAGCTCCAGGCGGCGTCCTGTAGGGGGCACTCACTCGTCGTACTTGTCCATGGCGCAGACCCACTTGTACATGCCCTCTGCTGCAGTGGACGCTGTTCGGATCTTCTCTTGGACAAAGTCTGGGTTGGTCATGTATTGGTGCCTAATGACACTCATGAATTGCGGGGGGATGTGGTCTTTGTCATATTCGTGCAGACTCTGGAGGAACCTCATGTCTCCCAGGAGCTTTTTAGCAGGACCCCAGAAGTCCTTCACCATCTTCCCGCTTCCAGAGGGGTCTGGGATCCGGTCCGGTTTGATCCCCTTCAGGATACAGATGGCCTCCATCACCAGCTTCACTGCAGGGGGAGGGCTCTTCATGGACTTCACCACCGTGATGTCCTGCAGAGGAGATACAAGTCATTATGACCTGGAGTCAGTGTTTCATTTCTCTTCAGTGTGGCCCCTTCACATATAAACATGTACCAGAGACTAAATGGACATATCTATAACACTAGCTACCATCACGTTCCAAGCAGGAAGTGAGCATGGGTGCAAATCAACTCCATCGGCTCTGGCTCCAGTTCACTCTGCATTGAAAAAACGTCGCCCTTCTCTCTGTAACTGCTGCTGTCAGGCTCAACACTCTGACCTTAAAATGTTTCTGCTCTACATGATCCTTGCATTTTTATTTCGTTATTTTGTCTGTAAATCAAGACATGATTAATGATGAGACCAATCAGGTGCCTTCTTTCCCCGAAGTCAGTCCCACTAGTGTTAACATCTAACACTACGGTTCACTTACATTCAGCTCCTTTACTTCACTCACAGCTACGAATTTGTGGAACTTAATGATTGTGGTAAAGTCACAGTCACTTTCAGGGTCAAAAAATGCACTTTACTTGTCAATTAGACTAAAGTCAACTTGAATGAGACGAGTAACTTCAACAGTGACGTGTTATTGCCAAGAGTCCAGCTCCATTTCCCAGTCTGTTCCACTCCTCCTTTTACCTCCTCCGTTTTTCCTACAGCCGCCACTCACTCCCTGATCCTCCCAGAGCCTCTCTATATCCTCCCTCTGTTCATCCAGTCTCTATATCCTCCCTCTGTTCATCCAGTCTCTATATCCTCCCTCTGTTCATCCAGTCTCTATATCCTCCCTCTGTTCATCCAGTCTCTATATCCTCCCTCTGTTCACTCAGTCTCTATATCCTCCCTCTGTTCACTCAGTCTCTATATCCTCCCTCTGTTCATTCAGTCTCTATATCCTCCCTCTGTTCACTCAGTCTCTATATCCTCCCTCTGTTCACTCAGTCTCTATATCCTCCCTCTGTTCATCCAGTCTCTATATCCTCCCTCTGTTCACTCAGTCTGTGCTCGATTACACCTGTTCTCCTGTTTTATTTCTTGAGTATTTTTGAGCTCTAAGTGTGGGGGTCTTGGTTGAGTTGACATGAATGACTGGAAAGTTTTGCTACATTTTTTTCAAAGACTTATAAATAATTAGATCCTTGTATCTGGTGCAGATGTAAATGACATTATTGTAGAATAGAGCCTGTTTTTATTCTCACTTGTGTATAGAAGTAATATTTACTCACTCAATTCAAGACAATCAGTTTCCATGGTTTTACCAAGTAACATGAACTTACTTTTAAAGTAAAATAAATATTTCAAATTTGAGGAAGTGACAGATTTATTGACACAGCTTCACAACATGAGTTCTATGAAAACTAAAGTTCACTTCACTTGCTGTGCCTCGTTAAGTGAAAGAGGAATTTCCTGCACACTACACTGAGAAATTACTCGTAAACTCAGCTTTAGATTCACACTCCACTTTAGTCCAATTTTTCAAGGCAATCGGTTTCCTGGAGTTTTTCAAGTAAGGCCTACTTATCAGATTTGACAGTGAGGATGCTATGCGTTCAGAATTCCAAATAAGGAAATTGGCTATAAGTTCGCCCCATAACTGCTTCCACTTCTTACGGCTTTCCACTTCTTCATACAGTCTGTGCATGTTTAGTTTATTGAGTTTATTTTACAGGGATCGTGTACTGGGGCATTAATCAAAGAAACACTGAAGAGATGCTTTGTACCAGATTATATCTCTCTGAGCTAATTTCCATCTGCAGTCCCTGAGACAGAAAAAAACACAGAAACAAACAGCATAAAATAAGGTAATCTATAACCAAATAGTTAAAAAAGTACAATTATATTACATATGTCCATCCCACTCCCACCACACTCCCTCTGTGGCTTTAATCAGATAGAAATTAGTTGTTAGTTATAAGTTGTTTTTCCTACATGTACCTGAGTGAAGCCCCGCCCCCTCCACATATAAACATGTCCCTCATATAAACATGTTCCTCATATAAAGTGTACCTGTGTGGTGAGAGTGTTGAGCGCTGCTAGAGCAGACTCCAGGATGGGCATCGCCTCTGCCAGATCCGCGTCGCACTCGTCTTTGATAGCTTTAGCCGCCATGGCCTGCTTATTTGCGATGGCTTCATCCACCTTCACCACCTTCTCGGTCTCTGCCACCTCCACAGACTCTTTCTCGATCACTACCATTATCTCGTCCACCTCTTTACTGGCCACGCGGAGCTGAGGCTGCAGGGCCTCCAGCTCCACCTGCATGGACGACACCTGAGACGCCGCAGACTCCAGCTTCTCCAGACCCACTTCATAACGCTGCTTCATCGTCATCACATCACTGGAGAGAAGGGCAGGAACACAGCACTGAACCGGGGCTGAACCAGAACTGAACCAGAACTGAACCAGAACTGAACCAGAACTGAACCAAGACTAAACCAGGGAAGAACCAGAGCTGAACCAGAGCTGAACCGGGGCTGAACATAGGATCTTTTCTGGTTTAGCTGAAGATTAGTCTTTGTATATTCCTTGTAGAGTGCTGGTTTAGCTCTGGTTTAGACCTGGTTTAGTCCTGGATTAATCCTTGTACAATCCTGTTTTAGTCCTGTTTTAGTCCTGTTTGAGTCCTGGTTTAGTCCTGGTTTAGTCCTGTTTGAGTCCTGGTTTAGTCCCGTTTTAGTCCTGTTTTAGTCCTGGTTTAGTCCTGTTTGTCCTTTTAGTCCTGGTTTAGTCCTGGTTTAGTCCTGCTGTTTAGTAGTCCTGGTCCTTAGTCCTGGTTTAGTCCTGTTTTAGTCCTGGTTTAGTCCTGGTTTAGTCCTGGTTTAGTCCTGGTTTAGTCCTGTTTTAGTCCTGGTTTAGTCCTGGTTTCCTGTTTAGTCCCTGTTTTAGTCCTTTTGAGTCCTGGTTTAGTCCTGGTTTAGTCCTGGTTTAGTCCTGTCCTGTTTAGTCCTGGTTTAGTCCTGGTTTAGTCCTGGTTTAGTCCTGGTTTAGTCCTGTTTAGTCCTGGTTTAGTCCTGGTTTTTGAGTCCTGGTTTTAGTCCTGTTTTAGTCCTGGTTTAGTCCTGGTTTGTCGTCCTGTTTGAGTCCTGGTTTAGGCCTGGATTAGTCCTGTTTCAGTACTGGTTTAGTCCTGTTTTAGTCCTGTTTGAGTCCTGGTTTAGTCCTGGTTTAGTCCTGTTTTAGTCCTGGTTTGGTCCTGTTTTAGTCCTGTTTTAGTCCTGTTTTAGTCCTGGTTTAGTCCTGGTTTAGTCCTGGTTTAGTCCTGTTTTAGTCCTGTTTGAGTCCTGGTTTAGTTCTGGTTTAGTTTAGTCCTGGTTTAGTCCTGTTTTAGTCCTGGTTTAGTCCTGTTTGAGTCCTGGTTTAGGCCTGGTTTAGTCCTGTTTTAGTACTGGTTTAGTCCTGTTTTAGTCCTGTTTGAGTCCTGGTTTAGTCCTGTTTTAGTCCTGTTTAAGTCTTGGTTTAGTCCTGTTTGAGTCCTGGTTTAGTCCTGTTTTAGTCCTGGATTAGTATTTTTTGAGTCCTGGTTTAGTCCTGGTTTAGTCCTGTTTGAGTCCTGGTTTAGTTCCTGTTTTCCTGTCCTTGTTTTAGTCCTGTTTAGTCCTGGTTTAGTCCTGGTTTAGTTCCTGTTTTAGTCCTGTTTTAGTCCTGTTTTAGTCCGTTTTAGTCCTGGTTTAGTCCTGTTTTGAGTCCTGGTTTTAGTCCTGTTTTAGTCCGTTTTGTCCTGGTTTAGTCCTGGTTTAGTCCTGGTTTTAGTTCCTGTTTTAGTCCTGTTTTCCTGAGTCCTGTTTAGTCCTGGTTTAGTCCTGTTTAGTCCTGTTTAGTCCTTTTTAGTCCTGAGTCCTGTTTAGTCCTGTTTGAGTGGTTTAGTCCTGTTTTAGTCCTGTTTTAGTCCTGGTTTAGTCCTGTTTTAGTCCTGTTTTAGTCCTTGTTTAGTCCTGTTTTAGTCCTGGTTTAAGTCCTGTTTGTCCTGTTAGTTTTTTAGTCCTGGTTTAGTCCTGTTTGAGTCCTGGTTTAGGCCTGGTTTAGTTTCTGTTTTAGTCCTGGTTTTAGTCCTGTTTTAGTCCCGTTTTAGTCCCGGTTTAGTCCTTTTGAGTCCTGTTTAGTCCTGTTTAGTCCTGTTTAGTCCTTTTAGTCCTGTTTTAGTCCTGTTTTTAGTCCTGTTTTCCCCTGGTTTAGTCCTGTTTTTTTTAGTCCTGTTTGAGTCCTGGTTTAGTCCTGGTTTAGTCCTGTTTAGTCCTGGTTAGTCCTGTTTTAGTCCTGTTTAGTCCTGGTTTAGTCCTGTTTGAGTCCTGGTTTAGTCCTGTTTTAGTCCTTTTAGGTTTAGTCCTGTTTTCCTGTTTAGTCCTGTTTGTTTAGTCCTGTTTTAGTCCTGGATTAGTCCTTTTGAGTCCTGGTTAGTCCTGTTTTTAGTCCTGGTTTGGTCCTGTTTTAGTTCCTGTTTAGTCCTGTTTGAGTCCTGTTTTAGTCCTGTTTAGTCCTGGTTTAGTCCTGCCTTTAGTCCTGTTTTAGTCCTGGTTTAGTCCTGGTTTAGTCCTGTTTGAGTCCTGGTTTAGGCCTGTTTTAGTCCTGGTTTAGTCCTGGTTTAGTCCCGTTTTAGTCCCGTTTTAGTCCCGTTTTAGTCCTGTTTGAGTCCTGGTTGAGTCCTGGTTTAGTCCTGGTTTAGGCCTGGTTTAGTCCTGTTTTAGTCCTGGTTTAGTCCTGTTTTAGTCCTGTTTTAGTCCTGTTTGAGTCCTGGTTTAGTCCTGTTTAGTCCTGTTTAGTCCTGTTTTTAGTCCTGTTTGAGTCCTGGTTTGAGTCCTTTTTTCCTGTTTTAGTCCTGTTTGAGTCCTGGTTTAGTCCTGTTTAGTCCTGTTTTAGTCCTGGTTTAGTCCTGTTTGAGTCCTGGTTAGTCCTGTTTAGTCCTGTTTAGTCCTGTTTGAGTCCTGGTTTAGTCCTGTTTAGTCCTGTCCTGTTTTAGTCCTGTTTAGTCCTGTTTTAGTCCTGTTTTAGTCCTGTTTAGTCCTGTTTAGTCCTGTTTTAGTCCTGTTTTAGTCCTGTTTTAGTCCTGTTTTAGTCCTGTTTTAGTCCTGTTTGAGTCCTGGTTTAGTCTAGTGCACTCACGTTCGTTTGGTCTGGAGCAGGGTCTTGAAGGTGGAGATGAGCTCGAGGTAGGAGGTGGGGGTGACGTAGTTGTGTCGTTGTAGCTCTGCGTGGAAGCGTTCAGACAGCTCGATGCTGGAGGTGTGGAAGCTCTTGCACATGTGGATACAGCCCTCTCTGGTCTCCTCTGACATCTCCACGTCCGCCAGGAACCGACTGGCCACGGCCTGCAGAGCGTCCTCCGGCCAGCTCTGGGAGAAGCACAGGAGGGTAAAACAGAGAAAAACCTACCTGCACATCTGTCATGATATCAAATTATTCTATGTATTGCTGGAAAAAATATAGACCAAATACAAATCAAACTTTTCACCCCAAGTCCCAACAAAAGATTTGGCTTTGTGAGTACCACCTGATCTAAACCAGGTTTATAACAGGACTATTCCAGGTCTAATCTAGAACTAAACCAGGTCTAAAAGTGGACTACATCATTTCCACTGTAGTACACAAAAAATGATCCAAATGAGGTCGAGAAAGTGGATCAAATGAACTGTAAATGAGGTAAACCCTCAAACTGAAGAACTCCGAGTCCCACTTGAAGGAGCTCATGGACCACCAGTGGTACACATAATACTGATAAATGATTGATACATTTGAAAACTATTTATGATACTGCACAAATGTGGTGGAAAAAACACCATACATAAAAAGCAGAATGAAATAGTTACTTTGATCTATGTTTATTTATAATGAGTCATGGAGGTGATTTATTCAGTCCTCCACAGCTCAAATCTCACCGTATGGGTTTATTTTTGTCTCATTAATATTCACAAATACACAGATGGTGATCTACAAATATTCATGTCATTGGTTTGTGCATGTGTTTTGATATTCACAAATGCAAATGTTATATTTATAACTTGTATTTTGGTCTTTACAAATAGATGTGTATTTGTAAATATATCTTTTTTCATTTGCAAAAAATTATTTCATTTGTAAAACAAAAAATTCTGTTTGTAAAATGTGATTCGCATTTGTGGATCACCAGTTACACGAATCCACCGATTTCCAGTATGACGTCATTTTGAGACTCATTTTCACTCACAATGACTATTTGTAGATCACCATCTGTGTATTTGTGAATATTAATGAGACAAAAGTAACCGCATACAAAAGAACACAAAGTTCCCCATCAGTGTAAAGAAAGAAGTAGCTCAATAAATATTGACCACCAAAAATTATTGTTCCATCTGTCATTTACTGAACAAAAATAATAATAATTAATTCACTGTATTTCAGACGCTGTCGTGGGCACCACCTTGGTCCTTGGGGTTGTATTATTTTGCATGGGCCTGTTGATCTCAACAGCAAAGTTCTGTATGGACTGCCAAACCCTTTTACAGCCTACAGAGAAGAGCTGCAGTGGAACTTTTTGGTCAGTGACTATTTTACACAAATGTACTACTCATGTCATTGTTAAACGGCAAAACGTTTCTAAAATTCTCCATTAAAATGAATAGGATTTCCTCTAAACTAGAAGTGCCATCACAAAGAAAAAATGTTTGAAAAGTTACAGCAGCGAGGTGTTCTTCCTGAGCTCCACATTTTTGTAGACACCAGACAGTGAAACCGGGGAACTGTCACTGTTGAACCTGCGTGCGGTGCGGTCCTTCAGTTTGTACATGGACCATTTATCCCTGAGACTAACACAATATAAAACACGCTGCATGATGGGAGATAGACTCATGAACCACCTACTCTATGTAGTTGGTCATCTGCATAGAGCAGATAGTCCTGTGCAGGTCTGCAGCAGCTGCTGAGGGCGTGCTCAGACTAGGGGGAGGAATATGATATCAAGTTTAACTCTTAAAAAGAGTGTGGTGATGATCTGAGCTAAGAAGCATCTAAACACTGTTTTCTGCTTGTTACTTGTCTGGAGGAGAGCTGTCTGTTGTGGATAAGGTCAGATATCTAAGTCACATGATCAGTAGTGACCTCAGGGATGATGATGACACTCAGAGGCAGAACCGGGAACTGTGTGCACGAGCAAATATACTGGCACGGGAAATTTCATCTGTGTACAAGTAAAGTAGTACAAGTGTGAACTAGCTCTGTTCAAAGCTTACTGCACACCCCTCTACACTGCCCCCCTGTGGTGCAGTTACAGTAAAAGTAAACTGAAGAAGCTGCACGCTGCATATAATGATTCAAGTGAAAGTTAGCTGTTTGTGCATTGAATGAATAGAAATGAATTGTATTGTACACTGAATGCTGTTATCAGGAACTTGAAATGATACATTTAATAATTTAATTTAATTTAAATTTAATAATGCCTGAGCAGAGCAGTGTCAGGTGCATCTCTGAACTCTGGAGGCACTGGAGAAACTGCTAATATGGACTAGTTTGTCTGCTGTTCTATATGGACCCCTGGAGTTTTGAATAAAGCTTGACTGATTGATTGAAAGCGCGGTTTAGAAGCACTTAATGGTCAAAATGGTTAAAGGTCACATTTTATACAGCGCTTTTCCACCTTCAAGGCTCTCAAAGAGCTTTACATCAAGGAACCACTCACCCATTCACACACACACCAGTGTACTCAGATATCGAGGGAGGGGTTAAGTGTCTTGCCCAAGGACACAATGACAGCATTCATATGTGGGGGCTGGAATCGCACGGCTAACCTGTGGGTCAGTACATCTGACTGCTCAACCAATGAGGTTTTATATTGAGTTGGATTTGAACCACTGACCTGTGGATCAGTGGACAAACGCTCTACCAAACTCTCCTGTGGCTTAGAGGCGGGAGTGGCTGGGGGAGTGAGGTCAGCAGTACTAGTACAACACAGTCCTGGTGTACCTGGAACCAGTTGATGGTGCAGCAGTTGATGAGTGCAGGGAACCTGCGGAGTCGGTCCCTGAAAGCTTCTCCGATGGGGCTCATGGCTAACACCACATGGAGCTGTGTTTTGCATCGCTCCAAAAACATGTTGAAGAGAGACAGAGAGCTGCCGTCCGTCTGCTTCTCTCTCGATCTCTGTCTGTCCAACACTCGCATGCGCTCACAGATCTCCTGCTTCTCATCCACCGCAAACAGGTTCGGCACCTGCACCACAACAGACACATTATAATCATACTGATACTTTGTAGTGCCATTGCGCTGGGGTGATCTACATGAAGCTCTATCGTAGAATTGTCAGCAGCGACTATGGAGGGACAAGGCAGGCATTAGCAAACACTGTCAAAAAAGTTGTAAGATTGTCTGAAAACTCAGAAATAAAACAGCACATTTTCAGGAGCCTGTGATCAGTCCAAGAGTTCATGGCTTTGTTTAGGAGTTTGAGTTTCAACAAAACGGTGAGAGTGACCAACTGAAAAACAGTGTCTCGCCTGTTGTAGTTCCAAATAATTCAGTTCTCTATGGTCAGAGTGGGTTAAAATAAAGCTCAGATTAAAGTCTAATAAGCCTCAGATAGAGCAGTGCTTAAAGTTAGCATCCCACCAACCAGGGAAGATCTAAGATCTAAGATCTAAGAATAAGAATCTCATCATGATGTGTTTAAACATGTCTGAGTGGAGCTTCACCTCTCCAGTGTTGAGCAGGTTCCCAATGTCCTCCAGGAAAGATTCCATTTTGATTTGTGTGTCGGTGAAGAGGAAGACGCCGTGCGCCTCTCCCTGAGTGGACTTCTTCATGATCATCTTCAAGTCGTCTCTCCACTCCGTCGTACCGTACGTCTTTGAGATCTCCACCTGGAACACGCCGAGAAAAGGATTTTCAGCTGACATCAAAACATATATATATATATATATATATATATATATATAATATATATATATATATATATATATATATATATATATATATATATTATATATATAATATATATTAGAGCCCGACCGATATGGATTTTGTTGTGGCCGATATGAAACTGATATAATGGGAGTTGGAGCTGCCGATAGCCGATATATTCACCGATATATTTAGTGATGAAAAAATTCACTGTAAATCTTGAATTGTTTAAAAAACTTAGGTTTGGCTCTAGTGGATTCTAAATTGGGTTGATTTAGGCAACATTTATTGTTGTTCTGACTCTTTACATCATATTTACACACAGTAGATTGGCCTAATGGCATTTTTGCATCACATTCTAGCTACTAGTGATGGGTATTCCAGTTTTTTTTTTTGGAAAACCGGCTCTTTTGGCTCGGCTCACTAAAGCAGCTGGCTCTTTCGGCTCCCAAGCGACTCTTGAGATTGTTTTGTTGCAAGCAGGACTAAATCAGAACTGAACCAGGACTGAAAAAGGACTAAACCAGGACTAAAACAGATTTAAACCATGTGTGAAACAGGACTAAATCAGAACTTAACCAGGTCTGAGTGTCGGGACTCGGTTTCTATCTCTCTTCTTCACTCGAGCCCAAGATTTAAGGTGCCCATATTGGCCGATATATCGGTCGGGCTATATATATATATATATATATATATATATATATATATATATATATATATATATATATATATATATATATATATATATATATATATATATATATATATATATATATATATATATATATATATATATATATATATATATATATATATATATATATATATGGGAATCCTCCTGTGTCTCTGTGTGTCAGATGTCCTCCTGTCCTTCTGTGTCCCTGTAGTGTTAGACTGAGGTGGGGACAGGTCAAATGTGTCTAGTTAATCTGCAGATGTTATTCTACTCCAAGGTCTTTGAGTAGAATACCTACTACTTATAATGATATAAGTACTGTACCTGGAAGAGTTCTGCCTCTGCCATGTACGCAGCCAACCGCGTGAGGGACTGCCGCCCGCTGCCGCCCACACCCACGAGCAAGGCGTGTCCGCTGGGCTGCTTGAGGATGCGTGATATCCGGCACACGTGTTCTATGGCGAAGCGGAACAGCACCAGGTTCATGCGGGTCTTGTGGATGTTGTTGTATTCTTCCAGATGCCCTTCCACCACCTGCCGCAGCTGGTCCACGTTGAAGACCTCGCGGTAGTTTCTGTCATCTCCTTTGGGATCGTGGAAGTCGCAGAACATAAGGCTGCGGAGATCGTCCTCGGTCACGTGCCGTCCCGGTCCCGGTCCAAATGCTGAAACAGTCGATGGAAGTCGTCCTTCAGGTGAGACTTAAACACCTCTTGTAAATGAGACACAAGCCATGAGCGATCTGACTCATGTACCAGACGATCGTAGTAAACCCGCAACACCTGGAACAAAACAGGAGACAGGTTTTATAATATGTCATCTCACTGTAATGTATCTCACACATAGTAGTTTAAGGGTCAGATATTATGTAAAACCCGTTCACTTGTTGTCAGAAACATACCTGGAGTTTTGTTTCATTTACACATTTTGGGTAATTGTATCATTAGGTTGTCTAGAGCTCCGAAGCTCATGAAGAGGGAGTTTTCAAGTTAACAGTTACATTTGACCTCTTGTTGAGTAGTGATTGGCAATTCCAGGGCTGAAATTATCCAGATGATTCCAGTGAAGGTGTATGGAGTTCAAAACACTGTGGAGCACTTACTGCATTACCACATGACATCACAAGGTGGACAATTTTTCATTTATGAGTGAAACTAAATACAACTCTGAGTATGTTTTTAATGAAACAAAATTATAACATAGATCAGAAAATAGTGTAATAGTTGTGTAGTTTTAATAATGAATGGTCTTGATGAACAGGGCGCTTCTTTCTGTTTAATATGTCCCCATCTGATAGAGCGACACATGTTGTAGGAGTATGTTGTTCTCACCTCGTGCACCCAGAGGCGTTTGATGACCGCTGGCTCGCTGGTGCTCTCCGGCCTGGACAGACAGATGCCCTGCACCACTCTGGACATGTCCCTCAGGTTGAACAGGTAGTGGGATTTGGCTGGAGTCGGGAGCAGGTTCTTCGTGGCCTCCTGGTACACAGACATGGTGCTGTGGACCAGGTCTGACGTGAGAGCAGAGAACTCTTTGGGGAAAGAGAACCTAGAGGAGTGAGGAAAGCAAAATCATATATTTCACCATACACCAGGTTTACATCTGAGCCAGTAGTTACAATGACATACTGATATGTTGTAGCTGATATCGTCAATATTCTCTGGAGGTGTGATGTTATCTATAGACACTGCTCTGTCTGAAACTGTCACTCAAGATAGACTTTAATCTGACCTTTATTTTAACACAATCTGACCATAAACAACTGATCTAGTGGGAACTATAACAGGTGAGCTGCTGTGTGCAAGTCCCTCTCAAATAACATTTCACTTTTATGTTGAAAATCTAACTCCTAAACAGGACTATGGACGCTTGTATTGCTCACAGGCTCCTGAAAATGTGCTGTTTAAACCAGTTATTATTTTTTCTTGAGTTTTTAGACCATCTAAAAACTAGGGCTGTTTTGCTAATGTATGTATTGCGTTACCATGGTAACTGAACATTCTGCCACAGAAATACATTGATACATGACACTACAAGCTGACGGTTAGCAGTGTATCTGTATAATAACCAACAGTACCGTATGGAGAAGTGCCAGTGGATGATCCTGGAGAAGATCGTGTACATGGTTTTCTCATCAAAGTCGTTGATGGTCACAGTGTTAAAGTGACGCAGGAAACGGGGGGTCACCGGGTTACGACCTCCTCCTGAAAGACAGCAGGGACGTTCTATCAGAGAGGTCAAAACGTGGATCATTCTCAAAGTTAGAACCACACACTGTATGTCTAAATAAAGCTTGAAAAGTCTTCGCCTCTCTCTGCTGCAGTCAGACTCATCATTTTGGTCATTTTGGTTTGTATAAACCTGCCCTACATAATCCTGGGGTTCTTATTTCACCATGTCTTTGTCCTAAATTAAGATACAAACATTAATAACAGACCAATCCAGTGAGTGCTTTCCCCAAAGTCAGTCCCGCGAGTGTTACCTTCAACAGCCTCCTCCTGATTGACTCTCTGGTTTCATGCTTGGATTTCTAAATATGGTCAGTGGGTGCAGATTAGCTGCTCTAAGTGCAGCCTCGATGAGATTCATTTGGCTGGAGGGGAACACTATGGGTGTCAACACACTCACTTTGTCCACTTCTTTAGACAGTTTACGGTTGGAACTAAATGAAACTTGCTTTAGTGGTCCATGGTTGACATATTTCAACTGTTTTTACTCCTGTGTAAAACCAGGTGCAGTGTCTCTGCTCTCCTGGTTGGACCTTCTCTTACCTGGCGGCCCCATGGCACAGATGATCTGAACGTCCACCAGCTTGATCATGGAGTCCTTGAGGTCGTACCAGTTCCAGTGATCTAACCACTGCCTGAGCAGTTCCACTGGAGGCTGGGCTCCGTACACTTCTCTGGCCGGCATGTTCACGTCGTCCACAAACACCACCTGGACAACACAACAAACACAGGCGAGGTGAAGCTACATAACACTAAATCAATATTAACTGCACACTACATACTGTATGTCTTAAAGGGCTATAGCTGATTTTCTCATGTCATTGCCCCACTACACATATAATGTAAAAGCAACTCTGAGGGTGAAAATGATACCCAAAGTTGTGAAAAGTGCTTATAAACTCATTGTTCAGAATGTAAGGGAGGAATTACTGCATACCGTTTAAAATGATCTAGCGCTGTTTTTCTCAATTTTAGGACAGTAAAAATTTTGTAAAACACCTTTACATGGAAATATATACACTCCACTGCATACATCCGCAGTATGCAGGTTTATTTAAACATGCGTGTGCTCTGGTGCAGTACCAGCTTTCTGCCAAGTGGGGGTCCGAACACTCCTTTGCGGCGTTTGTCCAGTTTTGACATGATGATGTTCTGAGTCTGAGCCGCTGTGGTCTGAGCCGAGAAGTTTATGAAGAGTGGACTGTACACCTCCTTCTGCACTTTATTCAACAGGAAGTCCTACACACACACAAACACACACACAGACTGTTATAAAAGCTTAGGGTTCTCTTAGAATATATTATCACATTGAATTGGTCTGTGTAATCAAGTACGTTGGTCCTGAAGAGCTTGCGGTATGCTGGTGTGGTCCTACTACCTTACTCTTGTTTAGATCTGGTTCAGTCCTGGTTAAGACCCAGTTTAGTCCTGGTTTAGCCCTGGTTTAGCCCTCAGTTCAGACTCACAGTGATGTAGACGGTCTTGCCGGTGCCCGTGGGACCGATGAAGATGGTGGGTTTGTGGTGGGTGACGAGCAGCTCCATCAGAGCCATGTAGCGCACTGTGTTCTCTGTGGGGATGATGATCTCATTGAAGTGGCTGTCTTTACTGATGGGAGGGGCACATTTCAGCTCCTCTGTCCACAGCTGCCACCGGCCTGCGCCCTGGGGACAGAGGGGGGTCGTTTTCAGGTGTTAGACCATAAACAATCTCCATTTTTTTTTAAATGTCTAAATCTAAAAAACTTATCAGTCTGTGTTTGATAATGTGTGTGTTGTGTCACCACATCCCGCCATACACATACATTTAGAACTCCCCCAACATGATATCACTGGGTCTGGTCAAGCGGTAACGGAAGGAAACAGGGGCAGATTTTTGACATTCAAATGTCTCTTATTCAGAAACTAGAGGGACTATTGAAATAAGTAAAGTATCAGAATGTAGGAAAGAGTTACACTCCAACAGGGTCAAGTTAAACCTGTGATATTCTTTCAAGTTGTTGACAAAAAATGTAAAAACTCAATTATACTGTATATTATTATTATATTATTATCCATTATATTGTACCATATGGTACAAGATTAGGTTGAAAAACCTCTTACTTTTTGAGTCATGAGATTTTTTATTAAGAAAGGTCATGGTAACGGAGGGAAAAGTAACGGAGGGAAAATTGTGAAGTAGAAGGTGCAGGATTTTACATAATTTGTCAACTTTTTTCTTCTGAATACTTTAATATTACTTCAAAATGAAAGGAAACTATTTCTATAAAATATGTCAGTCCTTCAAAGCAAATTTTTATCATTTTTAAATATATATATATTTTTTAAATCATGTACCTTCATCAACAGTTCAAAGATGGAATAATAAGATATGATGAAATACATCCATTTATTGACATGATTTGCAGGTCTTTGAAATTTGGGAAATAATTTTTGTTCCATGTTTCATACATGGTCTGTTTAAAACATAAGGAACTTTAGAACCAAAAATGGTACAGAAAAAAGGTCAACAGTTTCATAAACTAGAGTACATATGTATCTGTTCAATACATTTTTATATCAGATGCATTAACTTGAATTTTTGGCCTTGCTGTTTACTTCTGCTTGACAGGGCCCCACTGCAAAGCATCAAGTCGACACCATATTTACCTGCATACCAGGAAAACCAAATAACCTTTTAGTGATTGTTTTTAGTTGAGCAGTGACAGACTACGGCCTGTCCACTGTGTACGAGCACATGTTGTTTCTTTGATTTAAAACGCTACGTTAAGTGAGTGTTCACAGTGTTTATTTGTGACGTGGAGAGCAAATAACTTCTGAGAAATGCAGTTTGTAGAATGTCTGAAAACCAAATAATCAGTGTAAATGAGATGTCGCTTATCTGTTTCTACCATAAGTGCGATTAAGTGTGTGAGGTCAATTTTTTAGCAATTATAGCTGCAAAGTTTTAGTGGTAATGCTAAATGAGCAGACACCACTGAACGCTCTGCAGCTCCCCTTCGCACCTATGCAGTTCTTTGACCTTTGACCTGCTGTAGACAGGCCCAAAGTGAAGTGACCTGACAGGGCAAAGAGCTCTGGTCCTGTATATGTAATGAGAGAAAGTACCTCTTTGATGAAGCTGTACTGGTAGACAGTGCCTTCTTCAGGCAGAGGCACAGACAGAGCTTTGCAGGCCTCAGTGTTGGTTAAAAGTCGATATTTGGTCTTGGTCTGAGTAGACAGAGGTCCAATCAGAAGCTCCCTCAAAACCAGATCAAACTTGTGCCGGCTGGAGTCATCACAGCTGGCACCGAGCGACCACACCAGGCTGAACACATAGATGCCCTAAAAGACAGAGACGAGGGGTTAGAGGGGAGGAGGGGGGGTTAGAGGAGAGGTATCATATTTTTCGGACTATAAGTCACTTTTTTCATGGTTTGGGTGTTTCCTGTACTCCAGTGAGATTTATATATTCAAATGTTCAGACTGAAGCGGCGAGAGGTTCTAGTCTTGTGTGTGAGTATCTGTTGCTCCTGTTCCTCCTGTACCACTGTCACTTCACTCTACTGCACATGTCTCCTGCAGAAAATGCCTCTGTTCTGTCTGTATCATCGAGTGCACCATTACTACTGCACCACTGAACTATTTAACATTTAAACAAACTTATAAAGACACTGAGAAGACTGAACAAAATGCTCTCAAAAAGAAAATCAGATTTTGCAGATTACAAACTGCAAGTTATGAAATCTGCAGCTGAAAATGATAATCGAGCAGCAGAAAGAAAGTTTGGAGTGAGAGAGAAACTTGTGACACCGGGAGGATGAAACTGAAACATGAAACTTTCCTGAAGTCACTGGATGGATGGACAAAGTCTGGACTTCAGTGACACTGAAACCATCCTGTCGGGATTCAGAAAGACCCGAATAATTCTAACTGGAACTGATGCTGAGTCTGACGACAGCGACACAGAAGAGGAAGCGGCGCTCTGTTTACCTCCGGAGGTCGAGGCCGAGTTGTTCAGAAGTGACACCGAGGATGAAGAATTGAATGGATTTAGTGATTTGGAGTGAGATGGAGAGTTTGGTTAAAATTGTTCTGTTCTGTTGTTTATGTTATAGTTTATCTGAAGAACTATTCATATGTGACGTTAACAGTCTGTTGTTCTCGTCTATTCTTATTACTACAACTTGACTTTACACAGAAAATGTTGGTTCCTGGTCTCTGATTTTATAAAAAATAATTTCCCCACAGAAGTATGACTTATAGTCCAGTGTGACTTATATATGTTTTTTCTTCTTCATTATGCATTTTTTGGTTAGTGCGACTTATACTCCGGAGTGACTTACAGTCCAAAAAATATGGTAATTAGGATGCTCACAGTGCATAAGGTTAGTGAGGAACAACTTTGGACTGCTATTTCTGGGGTTTTCAAGACAGTAAAATCCTGTATTGTGCCTTTAAAGGTGCACTGTGTCATTTTTCTGGTGGAGGGTGGAAATGTAACTGTTTGCCTTGATTATTTCACAGTATGGAAATAAACTTGGTTTTCACGATGGAGATAAGTTAAAGATCTATTGGGATGTAAGCCAGTGCCTAGTAAGACTTCATGTTTTTCAAGGTATTTTTGAGTGATAACAGCTGTAATTGAATAAATGCAAGACAGACATGTTTAATGTCATACAGTAGAACATTCCATGTAAAGAAACAGAATCTCCTCGGAGACAAGCGAGCAGCAGACCCTCCACACTAGAAGTTACATAGTGCACCTTTAAAGTTAATCCCTGAATGGTGATAATATTTTCTGTTTGGGGTAGTTAGTTGTTTTGCCATAATTTGATAATCAGGATTTGATTTCACAGTGATGGAGCAGACAGCAGAGTTTAGTGTAAATGAGGGAGCCGAATAATGAGGCTGGGCTCCTGCTGCTGGAGCCTGATTAAACAGGATACAGCTCTGAGCGGAGACACAGCTCTGCAGCACTCACACACACACACACACACACACACACACACACACACACACACACACACACACACGCACACACACAGAAACACACACAGAAACACACACAGAAACACACACACACACAGCGTTCACACATTCAATTTAAAACTATATCTATTGGAAACATGCTTGGGACACAGGGGGGACTCATCAGATACACGTCTCAAAGGATTTTCAAATCATTATAATAGTCCCTATGTTCTTTCTATTAGTGTCTGATTGGAATAAAGTACATGGGGTACATTTTCTCTCAGTGCATCTTTTGACCAATCCTCCGCTGTCTCTGGCAGTGATGCACATCTGAATCAGGATCCAGGGCAGAGTATCAAACAAGAGAAGTATGGAACTCAACAGTGAACGCTCTGGTTCTGGAAGTACCGTATTTTCCGCACTATAGGGAGCTCTGGATTATAAGGCGCACTGTTATTAAATGGTCTATTTTCAAACTTTTTTCACAAATAAATAGCACTGGACTATAAGGCGCATTAAAGGAAACCCAACAGTGTGATGGGTGAGTGGTTTTGTTTGTTTGTGGCGTTCACGGTGACTCTGGGCTTTGTTCAGTTGTGGCGTGTAGGGAGGGGGCTGTCTGGGACCAACGGATTGTCGGCGTGTTCACAGTGACTCAGTTGTTCAATCGTGTCTAGAAATGGCACATTGCACTCGCTTTTTGGGTTCGTTCGTTCCGTTCCTCGTCGGCGTGGAGTGATGAGTGTGTCTGAGGGTGTTTTTGGCTCTGCGGACGCTGTCTGCTCCGTGTGTGTTTGCGTGTTCTGAGGTGTTTTTCTGGCTGTGCGGTTGCTGTCTGCTCCGTGTGTGTTTGCGTGTTCTGAGGGTGTTTCTGGCTGTGCGTTGCTGTCTGCTCCGTGTGTGTTTGCGTGTTCTGTGGGGTTTTCTGTGCGGTTGCTGTGTACTCCGTGTGTGTTTGCGTGTTCTGAGGGTGTTTCTGGCTGTGCGGTTGCTGTGTACTCCGTGTGTGTTTGTGTGTTCTGTGGGTGTTTCTGGCTGTGCGGTCGCTGTCTGCTCCGTGTGTGTTTGCGTGTTCTGAGGGTGTTTCTGGCTGTGCGGTTGCTGTGTACTCCGTGTGTGTTTGTGTGTTCTGTGGGTGTTTTTGGCTCTGCGGTTGCTGTCTGCAGTGTGTGTGTTTGCGTGTTCTGTGTGTGTTTGTGTGTTCTGTGGGTGTTTTTGGCTCTGCGTTTGCTGTCTGCAGTGTGTGTGTTTGTGTGTTCTGTGGGTGTTTGCGTGTTCTGCGGGTGTTTTTGGCTGTACGGTCGCTGTCTGCTCCATGTGTGTTTGCGTGTTCTGTGTGTGTTTGCGTGTTCTGAGGGTGTTTTGGCTGTGCGGTGTGTGTACTCCGTGTGTGTTTGTGTGTTCTGTGGGTGTTTTTGGCTCTGCGGTTGCTGTCTGCAGTGTGTGTGTTTGTGTGTTCTGTGTGTGTTTGTGTGTTCTGCGGGTGTTTTTGGCTGTACGGTCGCTGTCTGCTCCATGTGTGTTTGCGTGTTCTGTGTGTGCTTGGATCTACCTGCGCAGTCACGGTGGGGAAATGAGGCGTGTAAACAGGGGTAAAACAGAATCATAGTCATAGCATTTTAAAGTGTTTTTGTTCTATGAGACGTTGGTAAAGGTATGAAAGGGTTCAGTGGAAGATAAGGCTGTTGTAAAATGTTAGACCAGGAAACAATAGAAAAAGTCTATTCTTGAACAATATGCAAACGTGCCCCCCTCGCGCTCCCATCAGTCGAGCGTGAGGGAGCGCAGAGAACAGACGCTGCCTGGTGTTTTGAATCTGCATTCAGAACGAGCCAAAAGCAGTGATTAACCCCAGCCCTCATCACAGACTCTCACACAGGTGGAGTCTGCGCCATCACAAACAACTCATTTCCATACAAAATGTCAGATTCAAATGTACCTCTCCTCTACCTCCTCCACCGCACAGCTCAACCACCACCGAGGATATTCTGAGCTCATTAACCACGAGCTGCTTTAGTTCTGGTTTGGAACGGGTTTAGTCTCAGCCAGTGTTGGGGAGTAACAGATTACATGTACCGAGATTACGTAATCAGAGTACAATTTATGAGTAACTGTATTCAGTTACAGTTACTGTTTCAGTGAGTGGTAATTGGATTACAGTTACTTTGTTGAAATAAATGGATTACACGGCGGGATTTTCCTGTTAACACATTTTGGGCAAAACCAGGACTAAACCAGAACTAAACCAGGACTAAAACCAGGACTAAACCAGAACTAAAACCAGGACTAAACCAGAATTAAACCAGGACTAAAACCAGGACTAAAACCAGGACTAAACCAGAACTAAACCAGGACTAAAACCAGGATTAAACCAGAATTAAACCAGGACTAAACCAGGACTAAACCAGGACTACAACCAGGACTAAACAAGGACTAAACCAGGTCTAAACCAGGACTAAAGCAGGACTAAACAATATGACACCTAACAGTAGGTGGGGGTATGTAATCTGTAATCTGTAGGAGAATACATTTTAAAAGTCACCTTCCCAACACTGGTCTCAGCTCAGTCCTGGTTTAGACTGGGTTTAGGTCCATTATTGGCCTGGTTTAGTTTAAGGTTTTCTGTTTGTTGTGGTGTTTCAGATGGCATCACAACATTCTATAGGCCAGATGGCGGCAGCTAAAATGAATACTGCTGTAACACAGTCAGTACCACATTTTTTAGACTATGAGTCAAACTTTTTTTCATGGTTTGGGTGGTCCTATATATAAACAGTGTTGGGAAGGTTACTTTTAAAATGTATTCCCCTACAGATTACAGATTACAGACCCCAAAATGTATTTGTAATGTAATCCATTAAATTACTTAAGGTGAGTAAATGTAATCTGAATACTTTGGATTACTTGATTTGCTGTAGAGAAACAAAGACGAGGAAATCTTCACATGAGAAGTTTTGTCTGCTAAAAGAAAATAAAAAGCCCAGACTTTACTGAACCAAATTAAAAATATTATTGATAGAAGACGAGGAAACACGTTCACTCAGCATGATTTAGTCCTGTTAAATCCTGTATTAGTCCTGGTTTAGACCTGGTTTAGACTTGGTTTAGACCTGGTTTAGTCCTGGTTTAGTTTCCGGCAATGAGTGGAATTACCGAGAAAAAATTTAAATTAAAAAAGGGATATAGCCCAAAATATGAAAACAGGAAAATACCGCCATGTATTTATTCCAACAAAGTAACTGTAATCCAATTACCACTCACTGAAACAGTAACTGTAACTGAATACAATTACTCATAATTTGTACTCTGATTACGTAACTCCGGTACATGTAATCTGTTACTCCACAACACTGTATATAAGTGGTACAATTTATATATTAAAATGTTCACACTGAAGCGGCGAGAGGTTCTAGTCTTGCGTGTGAGTATGTGCTGCTCCTGTTCCTCCTGTACCACTGTCACTTCACTCTACTGCACATGTCTCCTGCAGAAAGAGCCTCTGTTCTGTCTGTATCATGTCAGTCGATCGCATCATTACTTCTGCACCACTGAAAATCTAAAATGTAAACAAACAAACCACAACCATCCTGTCGGGATTCACAAAGACCCGAATAATTCTAACTGGAACTGATGCTGAGTCTGACGACAGCGACACAGAAGAGGAAGCGGCGCAACGTTTACCTCCGGAGGTCGAGTTGTTCAGAAGTGACACCGAGGATGAAGAATTGAATGGATTTAGTGATTTGGAGTGAGATGGAGAGTTTGGTAAACTTGTTCTGTTCTGTTGTTTATGTTATAGTTTATCTGAAGAACTGTTCATATGTGACGTTAACAGTCTGTTCTTCTCTCTTCTATTGTTATTACTACAACTTGACTTTACACAGGAAATGTTGGTTCCTGGTCTCTGATTTTATAAAATACATTTCCCCCAAAAAGTGTGACCTATATATGTTTTTTTCTTCTTCATTATGCATTTTTTGACTGAAGCAAAAAATACGGTACATGGGTTTAGTTAGTTATGGAAATGATCAGGTACAAAATTTGATAAAATTTGATAATAAAAAGGTTTTAGTCCTACTTTAGTCCTGATGTAGTCCTGGTTCAATCCTGGTTTACTGTTTATAGAAAGTAGTCCATGAAACAGAATTGTCAGTCCTGGTTTAGTTCTCCTTTAGTCCTGATATTGTCCTGTTTTAATCCTTCTTTAGTTCTGTTTTAGATCATGTTTAGTAGGACTATGCCAAAAACAGAAAGGCATAAAATTTGGTTGATCTGAATGATAAGGCATGCGCATTTGAATGGACAGGTCTACAGACAATCGTGTGGCAGTAAGAGCGCGTGGTTCTGAAGAGCAGTTACACCCGTATTGTTTAGAAAAAAGCAGTCAAGGCCACAGCGTGTCTCTTTAAGTCTCCTCACGTGTCCTCAGGTTTGACCAGTTTGAACTTTTAGATAAATTGTGCAGATTTAAGTATAGAGTCTGGTTCCGTCTGTGTGTGTGGTGTGATGGTGTGATGGTGTGGAGCCTTCTGCCTTCTCTCTTCCTCTGCCCCCACTCCCCCCTTCCTCTCTGATCCTGCAGCAGCTCCTCTCCTTTTCTCCTCTCTCTCCTCTTGTTCTCATCATTATAATCCAAGTTACAGAAAGCAAACGACTATTTTCTCTGTTTATGAGTGAAACATAAGACCTCATTTAATGCACGGACGTCACACGTGTTTCTGTAGTGGTAATGCACACATGATTTTAGGCTTATATACTGTACAATTCCAAACATTAAATGTGGATTTCTCTTGAATGATCAGTCCTATCACCACAAAATAACAACTGTAGTGATCCTGACACGCTGCTCTCTCTCTCCAAACTCTACCTTATCAATGAGATGGAAAAAAATTCAAATAAAAAAACAAGATTGATCAATGTGAGAGGAAAAAATCTGGATTTTTCCCCCCATATTGCTCAGCCCTAATGTTTAGTCCAGGTTTAGTTCTGTTTTAGACCATGTTTAGTCCAGGTTTAGTCCAGGTTTAGTTCTGTTTTAGTCCATGTTTAGACCAGGTTTAGTTCTGGTTTATTTCTGTTTTAGACAATGTTTAGTTCATGTTTAGTTCTGTTTTAGACCATGTTTAGTCCAGGTTTAGTCCAGGTTTAGTTCTGTTTTAGTCCATGTTTAGACCATGTTTAGTTCTGTTTTAATCCAGGTTTTACCTCCAGCCAGCTGCAGACCTCCTCTCCTTTCATGGCCCTGATCTTGGTCTCGTCGTGGAACTCGTCCATGTTACAGTCCATCAGGTTCATCAGGGACTTCACCAGGTTTGTGTCTGAGGTTGGAGACAGCTCCTAAAATATGAAAATAAACTTTTATCTTTAGTAACAGAACTTAAATACCAACAAAAATCATCACATAGTTCGAGTGGAAATAACATGAACTGCCTTTTTGTGTCTGCAGTAAATGTGTGGACTGATACTTCTGCAGTGTCATGCTGGGGGTGTTCTACATGTATGTGTAAGGTGGAATGTTCATGTGTGTTACCATGGTGATACAAAGCACACATTAGCAAACACTGACAAAAAGGTTTTAAGCGAGACTGAAAACTCAAGAAAAAAACACAATGGACATAAACAGCACATTTTCCAGAGGCTGTGATGAATAATGTTCCTGTGTTTCATTGTCAACAAAAAGGTTAGTTATGTTAGAGTGACTGTTAGCTAATGTTGACTAGCTTGTACTTTTATGTGTAAGAGGTTTAACGGTATAAAATATCTCCCCTGTTGTTATTACAGTTAAGTCAGATCTTTTATGTCAGACAGAGCAGTGCCAACAGTTAGCATCACACCTCCAACGAATGTTGATGACATCAGCTGCAAAGTATCTATGTATTTCTGTAGAACATGTGTATGTTTGCAGTACATTTGGGTATTTATGCAGTAAATGTGTGTATGTGTTGCAATAAATGTGTGTATTTATGCAGTACGTGTGGACTCTGTGCTGTACATGTGGGTGATAGTAGTGGGTGATGGGTGTGTACTCTGTGCAGTAGTGGGTGACAGTAGTGGGTGACAGTCGTGGGTGACAGTCGTGGGTGATAGTAGTGGGTGATAGTAGTGGGTGATAGTAGTGGGTGGTGGGCGTGTACTCTGTGCAGTAGTGGGTGACAGTAGTGGGTGACAGTAGAGGGTGACAGTAGAGGGTGACAGTAGAGGGTGATAGTCGTGGGTGACAGTAGTGGGTGACAGTAGTGGGTGACAGTAGTGGGTGATAGTCGTGGGTGATAGTCGTGGGTGAAAGTCGTGGGTGATAGTCGTGGGTGATAGTCGTGGGTGACAGTAGTGGGTGATAGTAGTGGGTGATAGTAGTGGGTGACAGTAGTGGGTGACAGTCGTGGGTGATAGTCGTGGGTGAAAGTCGTGGGTGAAAGTCGTGGGTGACAGTAGTGGGTGACAGTAGTGGGTGACAGTAGTGGTGACAGTAGTGGGTGATAGTAGTGGGTGGTTGGCGTGTACTCTGTGCAGTAGTGGGTGACAGTAGTGGGTGACAGTAGTGGGTGATAGTAGTGGGTGGTTGGCGTGTACTCTGTGCAGTAGTGGGTGACAGTAGTGGGTGACAGTAGTGGGTGATAGTAGTGGGTGGTTGGCGTGTACCCTGGTGGCCTTGCGGACGAGCTCGAGGCAGGTGGGCACGGTGCGGTCGAACAGGTCGGTGATCACGGTTTTATGCTCTGAGCTGACAGCAGGGGGCAGCGTGTTGAGCCAGGACAGCATCAGAGGCCTCCACCCGAGCTGGTGAGGCTCCATGTAGATCATCCCACAGCGAGACACCTGACAAACACACACTCATGTCAGCGTGCACAGATTTAAACCAGATGCCCATCCTGACACAACGTCCTGTATTTGTCCAGGTTTGGGTCTGACTTTTGCGCTGATGAGAGGGAAAGTAGCCTCACTTGTGTCTGTGTGGAGAGGAGTGACTGAAGAATACAAAATAAAGAGCTCAGGGCGTGTTGGAAGGTGCCAGTGGCTCAGGAGGTACAGTGCTCATCTTTTAACTGGAAGGTTAAAAGTTCAAATCCTGCTCTAAGCACTTCGGACTTTTCATTGGCTTTGGTTCCATGCACACTCAAAGTCTGATTGGAGCTAAAAAATCATTCAAATGAAACATAACAAAATAATCAGATTTCTTTCTGATCACAGTCCCTCTGATTACTCACATACAACAGTGCAGTCTGTGAGGCATTTATGTCATTTTAAACGTCTAGAAATAAGATACTAATCAGATTTTTGTGAGCGTGTCACTGCAGCCTCTGTATTATTGGGCAGGGCGATGCTCTCTTTGCCTGTGTGAATATAAAAGTGCGATGTGGGTAACTGGGTGGTCAAAGGAGCAGAACGACAGCCACTTCTCTGTCAGTCTGTCCCGGTTACACCTGTTGCCATAATCACTACTAGTACCGTATATCTACTTACAATTATTTTGGGGGTCAATACTTATGATGGGGAACTTTTTTTTCTGTGCTACTATAGGATTTGAGTTGTAAAGGTTGCATAATGGATGGATGGTTCATTATAGATGCAAATGGATAACTTTCATTCTGTTGGTTATTTACTGCAGCTCATATTTTTTATGATATTGATTAATTTTTATTTGATTATATTTTTATTTGGTAATTGATTTTAGACGTGCACCTTTCCACAGCGTTAGTGTCGTCCACGGTGATGATGGTGAACTAGTGGATAGTTGGGCACCATGATGGACAATGAATTGAAATTTGATCTAAACACTGAAAGTGTCATCAAACGAGGGCAGCAAAGAATGTATCTGTTGAGAAAACCAAACTCTTTTAATGTAAACAAAATGATTCTCAACAATTTTTATTGTTCTTTTATCGAAAGTCTGCTTACTTTTTCTTTTATTTGCTTGTTTCAATCCTTGTCTGTGAAGGATAAAAACAAACTGCAGAACATTGTTAATCCTCTCGGGCTCAAATTAAATTTTAGTAATAGGAAAAAATCTGATATTTGGGGAAAATTATCATATGGGGTAGTAATATACAATCCTGACTTTTTTTTTGAGAGAGACCTTCACATCCAGTGTGTTCTGGGATGTTGCAGATTTGGATTTGTGGTAAATTAACACTGAAGACTGAAAATGATATGAACACTAACTTTATGTGTAAACCACTGTTCATAACGATGAAAACATAAAGCTCAGTGTAACAACTTTACAGTCGCAGAACAACATCACTTTTTCGTGTGGTACTCCAAGAAACAATTTTTATCCTTTGTAAACAACATAAGTACTTTGCACTTCTGGCAGGCCGTTTGTGTGTAGTTATTCTTACACAGTCTACATTGTCCACATTTTTTCAGCATGGATGGGAAAAAAGAGCTCATAAAATATGGATGGTAAGTAGGTAATTGGCATTTAGCTGTTGCAAATCTGCAACGCCTGCCTGGAGAGGGTTAAAACCTGCTCAAAAATCACAGTGGTCAAACTGAGGAAGCTGCACCCTTTGTGGGAGGAGCGAGTGCTGAGCAAAGCCAAGTGTCTCGTGGCTCAGCCCCTCCATCCTCTGGCTCCTGATTTTATCCTGATGCCTTCAGGGCGTCGGTTTTATGCTCCGGTACGAAAGACCAACCGATTCTCAAATTCTTCTGTGCCCTCTGCTATTAAATTGCTAAATTGTAAGGGTACAGTTTTCTGAATATTGTGCACTGTAATTTGTAGATTATTATTGAGTTCCACTTGTGGACTGTAATGGACTGACACAGTGTGTGTTTGTGTTTGTGTGTGAGAAGTGAGAACTGCTCTGAGATGCTGCTAATGAATTGCCCTATGGGATCAATAAAGTTTTCTGAATCTGAATCTTATCTGTGGCATAAACTAGTTTCAATACTTTTTCTCACCTATATCTTGTTCACCAATACCTACACCTCATACACCAGCACCTAGTCCCAGGGCAGCTGTGGCACAAAGCCACTGTCCACATAATGAAGAGGCTTTGAACAAAAGACTAAGGCTTTACTATCCCTGTTATTACAAAGGTGTCCATGCCCTGTTTGTCATTCGTTCCATCTAAAGGCGTCTCATGTATGTTCAGTGTGAGTGTCTGACCGTCGCTGGAGAGGCCACCTCCAGGTCCATGGGCTCAAAGATCAGGCTCATCTGAGGAGACATCTGGATGATCTCTCCGCTCATCAGACACAGTTTCTTGTTGTCGTCCAAAACCGTGTTCATGTTCTCGATCCACACGGCGTCCACCGGCCCGTCAAAGATCAGCCACTTCCTGTCCGGACTCTGGAGACAGAAACACACCAGATGAGTATGTTGTCAGCATAACAGTCACAGTGTCTTAGCTTTATTCTCATTTAGAACAGATTCAAATCTACAGTAGTCCTTGGTCTTGTTTTATGCTCATGTTGAGACTCTATACACTTTTGGTTTGTCCTGGGCACATTCGGGGTCTGGTCTGGTTTAATCCTGGTGAAGTTCCAGGTTTAACTCTAGTCCAGGGTTGATGTTCTCTAGGCTTTGTCCTGGGGTAGTCCTTGATTTAGACTTAGATTAAGGTTTAGATCTGGTTGAGTCCTGGTCTCTTCCATGTTCTAACCCTGGTTTATATTTGGTTTGGTATTGGCGCAGTCTTCTTAGTTGTTGTTTTGGTAGTAGTCAGGTTTTGGATGTTTTTATGTTATGTTATGTGTCCTTACTGAGCGAGCATCTGCACTAGGGCTGAGTATCATTAAGAAGTTGTCGATATGATACATACTTAAATACACAGGCCTCGATACGATATGTTTTTCGATACAGTGCACTTTCAATTCAATATGATTCTAAACGATGTATTTCTAATCAACTCAATACAGTTCAGTGAAAAAAAGGTAAAATCATGGCTGTGATACTAAGGCCCCGTCCACACTAGTACGTATTCAAGTGGTTTTCTTTGTGGTGTGCAGTGTTTGTTCACACTAATCCGACTGAAAACGGCTCCAGATCTGGTGCCTCCAGCTCCCACGAATTCATTTGAGTACAGTTCTGATCTGGCACTGTGTGGACGCCTGAAAACGCTGATATGTTGATGTGAGTCTATGCGCCGCAAAGTAAATCAACGCCAAAACACTAAGAGGCTAGAATATATGTTCATTCATATAAACGGTCTATGAGTATGACCTGCAGACGTATAATCTCTGAAAAGTTTCACATGAACCATCTCCAACATGACAGAAACACAGAACAGACTCACCATCAGCAGAACACCCCTCTGTCACAGAAAGAACACTCATATTCCACGGAGTCGTGTCCTTTAGTCTGATAGAAGCTGAACTGCATCAACGCACAAGAGCGAGCTATTTTTTGAGCACTTAGTTTATGCAAATGAGCCATGCGATTTTAAGTTTTGTTTCTGTAAAACGTAAACAAATGTGCTCAAAGCTGTGTGGATAGGGAAGACATGCGGACACAGAAACGACGTGTCTGGAAACACATCGTTTCTGATACGGTGATTCATTTCAGTGTAAACGTAACCTAAAAGTCCACTAAGACCATTAAGTCTGTGCAAAGTTAATATGACAAATAGTGCTGTCAAGAAATAAAAAAATTGAGAGATGAATTAATTATGGTCTGTAATTAATTGATCTAATTAATCTCTTTTTTAATCTCACCTAAAAATTGCTGAGAAAAGCCTCAACTTGAACTCATGATTACATTATTGTGGCAGATCAAAAGACTGATATAGAACAAAAAAGGTGACTTTATAAAGTCATTTATTGTTTAACAAACTTTAACAAATGCAGTAATTTACATTCCGCTGTGTCCTTTCGTCAACCTCCAAATAATTAGAAAATACAAATAAAATAAAACATCAGGTTAGAGCCCTGCACCCTTGGGACCCGACGCAAAACACTGCGGTGCAGGACACATTTTGAGAGGTCATTGTGGTGCGGGTGGAAGTGGGACTGCACGCCGCGGGAGCGGGACTGCACGAAGCGGGAGCGGGCAGGTGGGATGATAAACTACAGTCCCACAAACTAAATATGAGTTTAAAGTAAAATATACAAATGATTAATGTTTGCCTATCATACATCATTTGTGTTGGATATTTTATTTTATTAATTTTTTTATTACATTTTTGGTATTTTAAAAACATTTTAAGCAGCCTAAATTTGTGGATGTGGTCTAACCTTGCACACATTTTAGACAATTTCTTTCTGCTTCTCCATGTTTGATAGAGCTAGTGAAAATGTCACACACAACTGTAGCTTTTACACAAAATAATTTAGTAAAATATACCTAAAATTACGCTTGGTGATATGTTGATACAGCAGCCCTTGATATCGATACTGTATCATCAAATTAAACGATACAATATATCAATATTTCAATGTTTTTGCACACCTCTGATTTGCATAGACTCTTATTTGGCCTAGAACAGGCATGTCCAAACTATGGCCCGGGGGCCAAATGCGGCCCTCAGACTATTTTTTCTTGGCCCTCAGGCTTCCAGGTGAATTGGCCCAAATTACCTTGCGTCAATTAAAAAAATATTTTTTTACTGCAAGTTTTTTTGAAAATCTACCTTGATATGATAATATTTAATATTTAGGATCTTTTATTTTATATTTTAAGGATTTTAGCATGATTAAAGACTGATGGCTCATTCTAACGTGTTAAACATGCACACATTTCAATTATTTCCTGTACTGAGCACCAGTCTACGGCCCTCGATCGGCCCTCTGCTTCGTCTGTGTTTAGATATGAGGCCCTTGATGAAAAAAGTTTGGACACCCCTGGCCTAGAAGAAAGCCTACTCTGGAAATGTTCTTCCTTTGGCTATAATATTCCACAATATGGCATAAAACAGATCTCACCTCCACAAAGTTACATGCTGTACCTTTACATGTTAAGGTCATGTCTCTTCAACAGTTCTTACATTCTAAGCATCGATTGTGTAAATGGACATAGGTAATCCACTAGTCACCATGTTCCAAATAGGAAGTGAGCATGGGGGCACTTCCAGCTCCATCGACTCTGACTCCAGTTCCAGTTCATAAATTGCAGTACCTCTCTCTGTAACTGCAGCTAAGCCTCGTCACGTTGCTCTTAAAATGTTCGTATTAACGCACTCTACATGATTTATTTTGTTATTTTGTCCATAAATAAATTCCTATTTTCACTAGGGATGGGCAAGACATGACAACATAAAGAGCTGCACTAAACCTCCACACGCACGATCTTTGAAAACATCTTGACACACAGAACTGACTCACCTTCAGCATCAACCTCCCTCTGTCACAGAACACTCATTCCAATATGGCTGCGTTCAGACTGCAGCCTGAAGTGACCCAAATCCGATTTTTTGGCCCCTATGTGACCTGTATCTGATCTTTTAATGACAGACTGAACGACACAGATCAGATTTTTTTCAAATGCGACACAGGCCACTTGGATATGTGCTCCTAAAACTGATACATATCTGATCTTTTGACATGTGACTTCACGGCCAAAGCACATTCATTCGACCTACACACATTATCAACAAGACACAGACGTCACTATTCTGCGCTGAAGTAGACAAAAATTGTTAATGAACTCTGTGTCACTGAAGTGAAGCACATCACCACTCACCACTCTTGGCTCCGTCTCCACATCCACACGTTCCTTTTAACAGACGTCGCTGCCACTGCTCCACAAAACACCACAGCCAAAAACCTCGTCCTTCTCCTTCTCAATCTCCTCCTTAAAACAAGTAAGTTGTTCATGTTCTGGCTCCGGTACGAGAGGAACTTTAAAATCTCCAGGTGCTCGATGCTGCGTCCACAGATCACGCTCGCTGTGGTTGACATCGTTGTGTCTCCAGTGCACATGTGGGACATTGTCGGGCCGTTTAATGTTCACACTGGAGTCACATACAAGTCACATTTAATTGGAAACGTGAACGACCTCGCAAAAACATCGGATTTCACAAAAAAATCGGAATTGAGCTTTAAGCCCTGCAGTCTGAACATAGCCTATGTCGTGTCCTTTAGTCCAACAGAAGCTGAACCACATTAGTGCACAAGAACGTTTGGTTTTTTTTCACTTAATTCATACATTTATAAGTTTTGTTTCTGTAAGACTTGCGCAAAGTTGCATTAAACACATAATCTCAAATGGGCTGATGTGGCTCTAGAGCACAGGTGTCAAACATAAGGCCCGGGGGCCAGATCCGGCCCTCCAAGACCTTTAATCTGGCTCTTGGCTGATTTTCTACTAAAATATTTTAATTATATTTTCTATTAAAATATTATTAATTTTCTGTGGTGTTTATCACAGCAGCGTCTCCAGTGTCTCTGTACGTGGCCCCTCCCACCAGAGCAGCACAAATGAAGACTTGTCTCTTTCCAAACGCTCTTAAAGGACGATCGTTTTGACTGTTGACCGTGACCCCCTCATCAGAAAAATGTCCAACATGAGAAAAGTGGAGCCGAGTGCAGGATTTTCCAAGAAAAATTGACTTATTCCTGTTTACATACAAGTTCATGTTAAAACATTGTGTTGAAATTGCATTTTTCTTAAAGTTTCAGGTTGTTCATAATATTATAATATTTTGTAAAAGAAAGAGTTCATCAATTAAAAAAGATTTCTGTAATAGATTTGTGTTTCTCTGCACAAATATTTGAGGTTTATATGCCATGAGTTTTCTGATCCGGCCCCTTTGGGATTAAAGTAAAGTTGGATACGGCCCCTGGACCAAAATGAGTTTGACACCCCTGCTCTAGAGTGTTTATGATTTATGTTGTAAAGTTGAGTTTATTTATGCAGATTAGTAATAATAATAATAATACTGATGATACTTATTATATAAAAACATTAATAATTAATCAAGAGATTTATCGTTAATTCTCCTGACAATCGATTAATAAAATTTCATTGAATGCCCATCCTTAATTCTTACATGAAACTGGCTCCAAATTTGCCGCTGTAGCTGCTCACATTTGACTGAAGCTGAGCGCTGTGGGTGACGTCACATTCCCTTAGTCCACTTCTTTATACAGTTTACGCTTCTAACTGGATTCTACACAAAACTGGCCCAAGCACAATCCTTTTTACCCATTTCTCAACTACATAATTCCTCCAGACTTTAGGATTGTGGCGTTACAGCAGAGCGTGTGTAGTGCTCGTCTCATCCACTGACAGCAGTTTAGAATGAGCCCTAATGTAATTTATATGAACACGGATCCAAGATGGAGTCGGGACAGAAACATGGCGTCTTTTATAATTACTTGTTGGTTATGACGAGTACAAGACGCCTCTTCACATCGCCACAGCTCAAAATGACATGTTCATTTGGAAGCTCAGACAAATGGGTTTATTACACAGACGATTATAGGCCCACATCTGAATGAATGGAGAGCTTTGTTTACTGTCAGAGCATGTTTATACACAAACACAATTAAAGACACTGGCAGTTCAATTGGAGTCAACTTGTAACAGGGAGAATGAAAGAGCACGCAATTACTCATAGGCTGAATGTGCTATGAGAAAACACTTTTTGTGTGTGAAGCAATGCAAAACCAAGCTGTACAATAATTAGTCACTAAACAAAGTAAACAAGGCAAGAGTGTGTTCAGTATGTGAAGTGCTAATGACTCTGACATTAGCAACTGCATTACTGAGGTTATAAGAGAAGAAAAAGTGTGCACCTGAATTGGCAATACACTTTTAGAATTAAGTCTGAAAAGTTGATCGTTTTAGTTCTTGGTTGGACACAGGCAGCAGATGTGACAAACGTACAGCTGCACTACTGTGGCGAGGAGAAAATTCAGTTTGTCGACTGGACAAAAGTTAGTTTGGTTGAAGATGTTTCGCAGCTCATCCAAGCTGCTTCTTCAGTTCTGGTCAGACGCTGGTGGACACTTCCTTATATCTGCAGGGAGGAGCTAACTACACTGAAACTAACACAAACACTTGTTTACAGTTTCTGTTTGTTAGTTGGGCCTGTTGACCTGTACAGAGTGTGGGGTCTAATTAGTAGAACAATTGATGGTCATAATGGAGCTTCCACACCTCTGGACCTGACATGGATACACCTGTTGTTCTCTTGTTTGTTTTGAATTAAGTTTGAGGATGGAGTTGTAAATAGGAGACAGATGGTGTCTGAGTCTCCATTTCTGTTTAGAGAAGGATTCTCTTTCTTCACAAAAATGGCTTCTTTCACTTCCCTCTCAAACCAGTTCTTTTCTCTGGCTAAAATCTGTAGCTCACTGTCCTCAAATGAGTGGCCTGTGGCTTTTAAGTGGAGATGTACAGCAGACTGAGGTCCACTGCTGCTCTCTCGTCTGTGTTGGTTCATCCTCTTGTGAAGTAGCTGTTTAGTTTCTCCAATGTAGCGTTCACTGCAGTCTTCACTACATCTATCTCCTATTTACAACTCCATTCTCAATCCTAAAACAAAACAAACAAGAGAACAACAGGTGTATCCATGTCAGGTCCAGAGGTGTGGAAGCTCCATTATGGCCATGAATTGTTCTACTAATTAAACCCCACACTCTGTACAGGTCAACAGGCCCAACTAACAAACAGAAACTGTAAACAAGTGTGTGTGTGGTAGTTTCAGTGTAGTTAGCTCCTCCCTGCAGATATAAGGAAGTGTCCACCAGCATCTGCCCAGAACTGAAGAAGCAGCTTGGATGAGCTGCGAAACATCTTCAACCAAACTCACTTTTGTCCAGTCGACAAACTGAATTTTCTCCTTGCCATGGATTCTACTTGGACGACTGAGGGATTCTTCACACAAGGTACACTACTGGTCATAAGTTTTAGAACACCCAAATTTTCCAGTTATTTATTGCAATTCAAGTCGTGCAAGTCCAGTGAAGAGCTTGAAATGATACAAAGGTAAGAACTGAACAGACAGAGGTTAATAAAAAAAGAGAAAAGATACAAAACACAAGTCCAAGCTCCGCCAAAACGACCTCAGGAAAAAAAGAACAAGATGGTAAAACTTGAAAACCTGGAGTGTCCAGCAGCACAGTGTCCAGACTTAAACCCCATGGAGCTGGTTTGGGATGAACTGGACAGAAGAGTGAAGCAACCTACAAGTGCCACACATTTATGGAAACTTCTGCAACAGACTTGGGAAGAACTTTCTGAACAATATTTGATTTCTCTTGTAAAAAGGACGAGCCACGAGTGTGTTCAGCTGTTCTATGTCAAAAATGAAAACGTTCATCAATCAAAAGTTTAGAATAAATTTTGGTCAACAGTTAACAGTAAAAAAATGGAAAAAGTGCGGTGATCTAAAACTTTTGACCAGTAGTGTATGTTACCTATTAATAATAATGTAAACAAGAGCCCAAACCTGTTTAAATGACACAACAGTTATGCTTTGACAAATAAACGTAATTTATAACAACTTACTTCTTGTATTCTATTATTTCTTTCTATTTTTTTCCAACTTTTCTTCACAAACTGCCACTTAACTGATGTAAAAAACTATGATAAATATTGAACAGAGTTACTATCCACCAAGCCAATTCAGAATTAGAACAATATTTTACTGCGATTGTCATTATTCAAACAATATAATAATACAGAATCAAATAAAAAAATTTCTGCATATTTGGGTCTGACCAGTATTTCTTAAGTCTCCTGTGTTATTTTTTCTTTTTTCCTCGTAAGCCTCCGTGTTTGTTTTGACACAAACAGACCGTGCATTTCCACAACTGGTTAATGCACCTGTCAGTCACGCCCACTGGAAACCGGGGAGACAGGGAACAGTCTTTGTACGGCTCTGTAAGTGAGTGGATTTAGCTGGTCACAAAGGCAGTAACAGCACTAGTAATGGCAGTGTCATCAGCAGTAGAGAAGGATTAGTATGATTTGTGGACTTTGGTGAGTTGTAATAATTGCGGAGGATGCCTGAGATCTGAAGCCCATGCGAATGCACCATATCTGTCATTTTTAAAGTAAAAATTCTCCCACAAATGACCTACTATATTTGGCCCAGACGTCCAGTGATAATACTACTGCAAATCTGCATCTCAGTGTTTGTTGTTGTCATTGTGCCTTTCCTATCGCTTTCTTTTCTTTTTGCGTTCTTTTCTCTTTCAATTTAAGTCAATGACAGTAAAATATAGAAAATTATGCTTATAGTAATAAAGTAATAGTAGTAGTAATTATAGTTGTAGAAACAGCAGTTGTAATAGTAGTAATCATAGTAGTTAAAGCATTAGTTGTAGTCATAGTAGTAGGAGCAGTAGTAGTATTAGTTGTAGTATCAGTGATCATAATAGTAGTAGTTGTAGTAACCTGGTGTCAGGTGTAACCATAGACCATATATATGATTGGACAGAGCTATTGGGATCTTGTGGCTCCTCTCTGTACCTGCTGCTGTGAGCCTCCTCAAAGATATTTGTATTAATCCGCTCTATATGATCCAGAATTTTTCATTTTACTATTTTGTCCCTAAATCAAAATATGGATGTAAATAACGAACCAATCACACACCTTCATTCCCCGAGGTCACTCCTGCTGGCGTTAGCAACAAATTTGATTGACAGCTAGTGCATTTCGTTGCTAAATAAGTCCCCTTCCTGCTTTCCTGTCCCTTCCACCGTCAGGGAGGGGTCACCCCGTTTTGACAGGTTTGAATGACATTTACATTTATTCAGTGACAGCGCAACTTTTCCACGATTTGAACAAGTGGATCAAGGCATTTCATAAAACTATCAATGGACCCCAGCCATTTGTTCCATTAAACTGTGTTGGCTGATTGTTCGTCAAGGAGAGCATCTTACAACTTGAACTTGTTAGACGACGATGTTTTCCGGTTGTTGTACTTTTAAGTTGTTCTATTGGTCTTAAACTATAGCAATAGAGGTTCATGGCTTGTTCAGCATTTAATTGCTAATAGACCTTCAAAGACCCCAATGTCCAGTTTTTCTTATATATATTTTATATATCTATATATATCTGTATCTATATCTATCTATCTATCTATCTATCTATCTATATATATATATATATATATATATATAGGCACATTTAACCACCTGAATCATGATTGGCTCTTGTGGTTGCTATGACACTCGCAGTAGGATTTCCAAATATGGAGCTTGGCTTCAGATTCGCCCCTGTAACCGTTAGCAACGGGAGTTTCATTTGGGAGGAGCTGAAGGCTGTGGGTGACATCACAGTCTAAGTCCACTTGTTTATACAGTCTGTGTGTGTAAGGTGAGACTGTCCTGTGTCCTGTGGAGGTGCTTTCACAGCGGGAGCAGGGCTACAGGAAAGCTGCAGACACAATGTGTCCTAATAACACCATCACTATGAGATTCAGGTTATGGGCTGTATATGTGATCACCTTCATGCACGCCACTCAAATGCACTGGACGCACAGACGCAAGGACTGATTGGTCAGATTTCTCTCATAGACTTTGAGAGGAGCCGATGGGTGTTTCCAGATCACCTCAAGCAGCTCAATAAGAAACTAACAGATTAAGATATATTTTCTTATGATTTATGTTATTTATAGTCAACATTTATGTAATTTAGTGACTAATATTGCCAAATGATAAAAATGTGTATGTTTAATAATTTTACAAACTTGCATGATTGATATATGATTAATATGTTTGATATGATAGCCATAGTAGCACTAGTGTGTGTTTGCTGTTACCTGTGAGGAAGCGAAGCCTCTGTAGCTGATGGCCAGGATGCCGTCAGACCACTCATGAGACACGGGGTCAAACTGTCCGTACAGCTGCCCCATGGTGATGGACTTTGGGTTCAGGACCGATATCTGCACCGCATTCTCCTCCATCACGCCCTACACAAACACACAACACAAGCACAATACTACAACTAGCATCACATACTTTCAGTGACATCACGCCGGGGCACTTCTGCATGTATGTCTATGGAAGAATGTTCAGCAGTTACCATGGTGACACAATGCACACATTAGCAAACAGCCTGAAATGTTTTAAAATTGTCTGAAAACACAAGAAAAAATACAAAATGGATTTGAAGAGCACATTTTCAGGAGCCTGTGATCAGTGCGTGTGAGTGTAATTTTAAGAGTGAGAGATTAGTTTAACAGCACAAATCAGCTCTCCTGTTGTAGTTCCAGCTAAGTCACATTGTGTAAAAACAAAGCTCAGATTGAAGTCGAATTTGAGTAACAGAGCTTCAGACAGAGCTGTGCCTAGAGTTAGCTTCAGCCTCCTCCTCCAGAGAATGTTGCTGACATCAACTACAGTATCAGTGACTCGACACATTCACTTCTTGTATTACAACAAAAATGCATCTGAACAATATTCATTTGAGCTGCCCCCATCTGTATTAAATGACTGACCTATAGAATGTTGACAAACTACACCTGCTCGATTTCTACATCACTAATTACAAGGTTATAAAGAGGCTAAAAATATATAAATAAATAATAATAAATATAAACAAATATAAAAAATAATAAATTAGATTAAAATTACTCCTTATCAGAGCATTCTGAGCTTTGGAGATGTAGAAAGACTAATAATAAAGGGTTATTCAATTCTCTGTTCCACCTTGTGATGTTACGAAGTGGTAGTTTCCATGTTAACTGCTCCTTTTACCTTTAGCTCAGTAGAGACTGGCAATTCCAAGGCTGAAATTAAAAATTTGTGAATGAAACAAAACAAATCCAGGTATGTTTGGGTATTATAGGACCTTTAAGTAACCCTACCCGCCTTTAGTTTAGTACAGATTGTCAATTCCAGGGCTGAAATTATCCAAATGATTCAAGTAAAGGCGTATGATGTCTAAAAACGTAGCAGAGCACTTCCTGTATCACCACATGACATCATGAGGTGGAAGTGTTCTATTCAGTTTGAGAGAAGAACTCAGCCTAAATGTGCAAGGTTTGTGTGAATGAAACAAAACACAACTCCAGGCATGTTTGTGATGAGGAAACGACATTAGAACAGAGATGGCCCATTAACCAGAGCTAGAGGAGATATAGTGTGTATAAACCTGACATAAGTGTTCATGATCCAACCCAAAGCCTGCACCAGTTTCCCTCTAACGTGTGTACTGCTGTGTGTGGTGCTGGTGTGTGCTGTTGGTGTGTGCTGGTGTGTGTGTTGGTGTGTGCTGTTGGTGTGTGCTGTTGGTGTGTGCTGTTGGTGTGTGCTGTTGGTGTGTGTGCTGGTGTGTGCTGTTGGTGTGTGTGTTGGTGTGTGTGTTGGGTGTGTGCTGTTGGTGTGTGCTATTGTGTGTGCTGTTGCTGTGTGCTGTTGGTGTGTGCTGTTGGTGTGTGTGTGTGTGTGTGTGTGTGCTGTTGGTGTGTGTGCTGTTGGTGTGTGGTGTGTGGTGTGTGTGCTGTTGGTGTGTGCTGCTGGGTGTGTGCTGTTGGTGTGTGTGCTGGTGTGTGCTGGTGTGTGTGTTGGTGTGTGCTGTTGGTGTGTGCTGTTGGTGTGTGCTGTTGGTGTGTGTGTTGGTGTGTGCTGTTGGTGTGTGCTGTTGGTGTGTGTGCTGGTGTGTGCTGTTGGTGTGTGCTGCTGGTGTGTGCTGTTGGTGTGTGTGCTGGTGTGTGCTGGTGTGTGTGTGTGTGGTGTGTGTGCTGTTGTGGTGTGTGCTGTTGGTGTGTGCTGTTGGTGTGTGCTGTTGGTGTGTGCTGTTGTGTGTGTGCTGTGTGTGTGTGTGTGTGCTGTTGTGTGTGCTGTGGTGTGTGCTGTTGGTGTGTGCTGTTGGTGTGTGCTGTTGGTGGTGTGCTGTTGGTGTGTGCTGTTGGTGTGTGTGCTGTTGGTGTGTGCTGTTGGTGTGTGCTGTTGGTGTGTGCTGTTGGTGTGTGTGCTGTGTGGTGTGTGTGCTGTTGTGTGTGTGCTGTTGGTGTGTGTGTTTGGTGTGTGCTGTTGTGTGTGTGTGCTGGTGTGTGTGTTGGTGTGTGTGTTGTGTGTGTGCTGTTGGTGTGTGCTGTTGGTGTGTGTGCTGGTGTGTGCTGTGTGTGTGTGCTGGGTGTGTGCTGTTGGTGTGTGTGCTGGTTGTGTGCTGTTGGTGTTGCTGTGGTGTGTGTGCTGGTGTGTGCTGTTGGTGTGTGTGCTGGTGTGTGCTGGTGTGTGTGTGTTGGTGTGTGCTGTTGGTGTGTGCTGTTGGTGTGTGCTGCTGGTGTGTGCTGGTGTGTGCTGTTGTGTGTGTGTTGGTGTGTGCTGTTGGTGTGTGTTGTGTGTGTGTGTGTGTGTGTTGTGTGTGCTGTTGGTGTGTGTGTTGTGTGTGTGTGTGTGGTGTGTGTGTGTGTGCTGTTGGTGTGTGTGTGTGGTGTTGTGCTGTTGGTGTGTGTGTTGTGTGTGCTGTGGGTGTGTGTGTTGGTGTGTGCTGTTGGTGTGTGTGTTGGTGTGTGCTGTTGGTGTGTGCTGTTGGTGTGTGTGTTGGTGTGTGTGCTGTGGGTGTGTGTGGTGTGTGCTGTTGGTGTGTGTGTTGGTGTGTGCTGTTGGTGTGTGTGTGTGTGTGTGTGTTGGTGTGTGTGTTGGTGTGTGCTGTGTGTGTGTGTGTGTGTGTGTGTGGTGTGTGTGTGTGTGCTGTTGGTGTGTGTGGTTGGTGTGTGTGTTGGTGTGTGCTGTTGGTGTGGTAAATGGGAAATGGTCACATTTTTCTATAGCGCTTTTCCACCTTCAAGGCACTCAAAGCACTTTACAACAAGGAACCACTCACCCATTCACACACACATTCATACACCAGTGTACGCAGACTCTGGGGCAAGGCGGGTTAAGTGTCTTGCCCAAGGACACAACAGCAGCATTCATCTGTGTGAGCTGGAATCACACCAGCCAACCTGTGGGTCAGTAGATCTGACCGCTCATCCTGTGATGTTTTTATGTTGAGAGCTGGATTCGAACCGCCAACCTTCAGATCAGTGGGCAAAAATGCTCTACCAACTGCGCTACTGCCGCCCGTGTGCTGTTGGTGTGTGTGCTGGTGTGTGGTGGTGTGTGGTGGTGTGTGCTGGTGTGTGTGCTGGTGTGTGGTGTGTGGTGGTGTGTGTGCTGGTGTGTGGTGGTGTGTGTGGTGGTGTGTGTGCTGGTGTGTGGTGGTGTGTGTGCTGGTGTGTGCTGGTGTGTGCTGGTGTGTGTGCTGGTGTGTGTGGTGGTGTGTGTGCTGGTGTGTGCTGGTGTGTGCTGGTGTGTGTGCTGGTGTGTGTGTGGTGGTGTGTGGTGGTGTGTGTGGTGGTGTGTGGTGGTGTGTGTGGTGGTGTGTGTGCTGGTGTGTGTGTGTGTGTGTGCTGGTGTGTGGTGGTGTGTGTGCTGGTGTGTGTGTGTGTGTGTGTGTGGTGTGGTGGTGTGTGTGCTGGTGTGTGCTGGTGTGTGGTGGTGTGTGTGCTGGTGTGTGCTGGTGTGTGGTGGTGTGTGCTGTGTGTGCTGGTGTGTGCTGGTGTGTGTGCTGGTGTGTGTGCTGGTGTGTGCTGGTGTGTGTGGTGTGTGGTGGTGTGTGGTGGTGTGTGCTGGTGTGTGGTGTGTGGTGGTGTGTGCTGGTGTGTGGTGTGTGCTGGTGTGTGCTGGTGTGTGTGTGCTGGTGTGTGGTGTGTGGTGGTGTGTGGTGGTGTGTGGTGGTGTGTGGTGTGTGCTGGTGTGTGTGCTGGTGTGTGTGCTGGTGTGTGCTGGTGTGTGTGGTGTGTGGTGGTGTGTGTGCTGGTGTGTGGTGTGTGGTGGTGTGTGCTGGTGTGTGCTGGTGTGTGGTGTGGTGCTGGTGTGTGTGCTGGTGTGTGCTGGTGTGTGGTGTGTGGTGGTGTGTGTGCTGGTGTGTGGTGTGTGTGCTGGTGTGTGGTGGTGTGTGTGCTGGTGTGTGGCTGGTGTGTGCTGGTGTGTGGTGTGTGGTGGTGTGTGGTGTGTGCTGGTGTGTGTGCTGGTGTGTGTGCTGTGTGTGTGTGCTGGTGTGTGGTGTGTGGTGGTGTGTGGTGGTGTGTGTGCTGGTGTGTGGTGTGTGCTGGTGTGTGTGCTGGTGTGTGTGGTGTGTGTGGTGTGTGCTGGTGTGTGGTGTGTGGTGTGTGGTGGTGTGTGCTGGTGTGTGGTGTGTGCTTGGTGTGTGTGCTGGTGTGTGGTGTGTGTGGTGTGTGTGTGCTGGTGTGTGTGGTGTGTGGTGGTGGTGTGTGTGGTGTGTGTGCTGGTGTGTGGTGTGTGGTGGTGTGTGGTGGTGTGTGTGTGTGCTGGTGTGTGGTGTGTGGTGTGTGCTGGTGTGTGCTGGTGTGTGTGGTGTGTGGTGTGTGTGTGTGGTGTGGTGTGGTGTGTGTGCTGGTGTGTGGTGTGTGTGGTGTGTGTGTGGTGTGTGGTGTGTGGTGGTGTGTGGTGTGTGTGGTGTGTGTGTGCTGGTGTGTGGTGTGTGTGGTGGTGTGTGGTGTGTGGTGTGTGGTGTGTGCTGGTGTGTGGTGTGTGTGTGTGTGTGGTGTGTGTGTGTGTGTGTGTGTGTGTTGTGGTGTGGTGTGTGTGTGGTGGTGTGTGGTGGTGTGTGTGCTGGTGTGTGCTGGTGTGTGGTGTGTGGTGGTGTGTGTGTGTGTGTGGTGGTGTGGTGTGGTGTGTGTGGTGTGTGGTGTGTGTGGTGTGTGTGTGCTGGTGTGTGTGGTGTGTGGTGTGTGTGGTGTGTGGTGGTGTGGTGTGTGTGGGTGTGTGTGTGGTGTGTGTGCTGGTGTGTGCTGGTGTGTGGTGTGTGGTGTGTGTGGTGTGTGTGTGCTGGTGTGTGGTCTGTGGTGTGTGTGGTGTGTGGTGGTGTGTGTGCTGGTGTGTGGTGTGTGTGTGTGTGTGGTGTGTGGTGGTGTGTGTGCTGGTGTGTGGTGCTGGTGTGTGTGGTGTGTGCTGGTGTGTGTGTGGTGTGTGGTGGTGTGTGCTGTGTGTGGTGGTGGTGTGTGGTGGTGGTGTGTGCTGGTGTGTGGTGTGTGGTGGTGTGTGTGGTGTGTGTGGTGGTGTGTGGTGTGTGTGTGTGTGTGTGTGTGGTGTGTGTGTGGTGTGTGGTGTGTGTGCTGGTGTGTGCTGGTGTGTGCTGGTGTGTGTGTGTGTGGTGGTGTGGTGGTGTGTGGTGTGTGCTGGTGTGTGGTGTGTGGTGTGTGTGTGTGCTGGTGTGTGGTGTGTGGTGTGTGGTGTGGTGGTGTGTGGTGTGTGTGTGTGTGGGTGTGTGCTGTGTGTGTGTGTGTGGTGTGTGTGGCTGTGTGTGGTCTGGTGTGTGGTGTGTGTGTGGTGTGTGGTGTGTGTGTGTGGTGGTGTGTGGTGGTGTGTGTGCTGGTGTGTGGTGGTGTGTGTGTGTGTGTGTGTGCTGGTGTGTGGTGTGTGCTGGTGTGTGGTGTGTGGTGGTGTGTGTGCTGGTGTGTGGTGTGTGTGTGTGTGTGTGTGTGGTGTGTGTGTGTGCTGGTGTGTGTGTGGGTGGTGTGTGTGGTGGTGTGTGTGTGGTGTGTGTGGTGTGTGTGTGGTGTGTGTGGTGTGTGCTGGTGTGTGTGTGGTGTGGGTGTGTGGTGTGTGCTGGTGTGTGGTGTGTGGTGCTGGTGTGTGGTGGTGTGTGTGGTGGTGTGTGGTGGTGTGTGCTGGTGTGTGGTGGTGTGTGTGGTGGTGTGTGTGGTGTGTGGTGTGTGTGGTGTGTGGTGTGTGCTGGTGTGTGGTGTGTGGTGGTGTGTGTGCTGGTGTGTGGTGTGTGGTGTGTGGTGTGTGTGTGTGGTGTGTGTGCTGGTGTGTGGTGGTGTGTGTGGTGGTGTGTGCTGGTGTGTGGTGTGTGCTGGTGTGTGTGGTGTGTGTGGTGTGTGTGGTGTGTGCTGGTGTGTGGTGTGTGTGGTGTGGTGGTGTGTGTGTGTGTGTGTGTGCTGGTGTGTGGTGTGTGTGTGTGTGTGTGTGTGTGTGTGTGTGGTGTGGTGTGTGTGTGTGGTGTGTGTGGTGTGTGTGCTGGTGTGTGGTGTGTGTGTGTGGTGTGTGGTGTGTGTGGTGGTGTGTGTGTGGTGTGTGTGTGGTGTGTGTGCTGGTGTGTGGTGGTGTGTGGTGTGTGTGGTGGTGTGTGTGCTGGTGTGTGGTGGTGTGTGTGCTGGTGTGTGCTGGTGTGTGCTGGTGTGTGGTTGTGGTGTTGGTTGCAGCATCAGCACATACAGACCCTGGACTTGTTGGTAACACGTGTGGACGGAGCCACAGAGCCCAGTGAACAGGCCCCCCATTCAAACAGACATTGAGACGCACCGACTGTGTGTGTGTGTGTGTGTGTGTGTGTGTGTGCGTGTGTGCGTGTGTGCGTGTGTGCGTGTGTGTGCAAAAGACGATGAGTGAACGCCACAAACACAAATGACTTTGATAAATGTGTTATTTTCTCCACCGGACCTTCAGCTCTCAGCCCCCCATCCATGTACATAATACTGACTCATACTGATCGATACACACAGGGGGAGAGGAGGAGAGGAGGAGAGGAGGAGAGGAGGAGAGGAGGAGAGAGGGGAAAGGAGGAGAGTGGAGAAGAATGGAGAGGGAAGAGAGGGGAGAGAGGAGGGGAGGAGGAGGAGACAGGAGGAGATGAGAGTTGAAGAGGGAGGAGGAGTGGGGAGAGAGAGGGGGAGAGTATAGGATGAGAGGGGAGAGAGAGAAAGAAGAGAGGGGAGAGAGAAGGGAACGAGTAAAAGAAGAGAGAAAGGGGAGAGGGAGAGAGAAAGAGGAGAGGGGAGAGAGAAGGGAGAGAGTAAAAGAAGAGAGAAAGAGCAGAGGGGAGAGGAGGGAGAGAGAAAGAGGAGAGGGGAGAGAGAGAGAGAGAGAGAGAGAAGGGAAGAGGGGAGAAGAGGGAGAGAGAAAGAGAAGAGGGGAGAGAAAAGGGAGAGAGAAAGAGAAGAAGGGAGAGGGGAGAAAGTGAATATGAGCGTAGTGAAGTGACAGGCGATGGATGAGTTTACCAGCGAGTGAAAATGAGGTGAAGGATGGGCACTGGAGTTTTACAGACAGGATCCAAAACAGAGGCACAAATCTATAAAACACATTTAAGATCGAATGAACAAAGTGATGATGATAGATCTGTAGCTCACAACATGAGCCGTGTTTCTCCAATAAGAAATGCACGACAACATCACAGCCATTTACTGTGGGACAAACCACAGCTCGTTCCTCAACCCTCAATCTCCATCCAAATGTACAACTCAAATAGCTACCAATGAAAAGATGCTTCTAGAAATGACTAAGTCCATTCTCCCACTGTATTTCTCCAACCACAACACCACATCTGCACATTAACTAGAGCTTATTTACTTGCCAAAATCTCAGTCTAACACAGGAGGACGGGAGGGCATCTGACACACTGGGGGTATAGGGAGCTGGGAGGGCATCTGGCACAAACCTTGCTGCTGACTTGGTTGAGCGCGTCGGCTAACACTCTGTATGCGCTGGTCTTGCCTCCGAAGGGCTCTCCCACCAACATGAAGCCGTGGCGCACGATCATCATCTCGTAGATCTGCAGGATCTTCTCGGAGAAGAAGGGCGTCATCTGCAGGTTCATGAGTTTGCAGTTCTCCTCGATGGCCTCCAGCAGAGTCCTGTAGTCTCGCTTAGGCAGCTGCACCCCGGGGAAAAGGTCCGAGGTGATGGCCTGTGAGGAAGGAGAGCTCAGAGGTCAGGGATCAGGGCTGAGGAGGGAGAGGGGCATCATTCCACAATCTGAGTCACAGTCCAATTTATGTTAAATTTGGATCTGCACATGGCAACACACACGGACAAAATGACACATAATATGCCATCTATCTATCTATTATTATTTCCTCCGCCAAGGAGGTTATGTTTTTGCCAGCGTTTGTCTGTTTGTTTGTTTGTTTGTTTGTTTGTCTTTTAGCAACATAACTCAAAAAGTTATGTACCGATTTTGATGAAATTTTCAGGATTTGTTGGAAATGTGAAAAGGAAGAACTGATTTCATTTTGGGGGTGATCCGGAAGAAATCCTGGATTCTGGATCACTTTGAAATTTTAGTTAACATTGTGGTAAATGGGGCCAAAAATTTTGTTTCTCAATATCTCGGTTAATTATTGACCAAACCCCATGAAATTTGACTCAGGGATGGACAATGGGATCCTCTTTCATATTCCAAATTGAAAGATACGAGACAAATATTTATGGAAAGCACAATTAATATGAGGGGGACTGTAGTCCTTGGCGGAGGTCTGCGCTCTCTGACTGCTTTTCTAGTTTTTATTTTAGTGTGTTCATTTGAAGTTAAATCTGAGTGCTAAAAAGCTCGAACAAACACATGATTGCAGAGAAACACAGAAGCCAGCTGATTCTGATGTGAGTGTAAGATTTCATGTGTTTTGTGATTACAGTGATATGGGAATTTACCAGTGTTTTTATTAAAATAAACCTTATGAAACTTTCTCTGTGAACTCTATTTAACTTTAACTATCTAACTATTTAACTATTTAACTTAAATTAAGATGAACTACGGTTTCATCTGAAATCAAATCAAGCTAAATGACTATCATGATTTAAAGGGACAGTCCGTAATTTTAGCCATAGGACCTCATTTCCTAGTGAGCCAGAGTGTTGGAGACGTGTGGAGACACATATTCCATCCAAGTGTCTCCAAACGTGTCCAACACTCTGGCTCACTAGGAAATGAGGTCCTATGGCTAAAATTCCAGACTGTCTCTTTAAGTGTAAGATTCCGTGTGTGATTACGGCGCTACAGTATTTTCAAGTGTTTTTCTAAAAATAAATGTTATGAAACTTTCTTTTCAAACTCTATTTAACTGAAATGAAGGTGACCTAAGGTTTCATCTAACAAAGAACATTTTACCAATTTCTGGTAAATATAATGACAATAAAGTCAATTCATAGAAGTTTGTCCCTGTGTGTGTTGCCGTAGTAAATGACAAGTGTTTGTTCATAACTATCTGAGCATGTGCATGTTGAATTTTGGTGCAAATATGGTCAAAGGTCAGAGGTCATGTTCTGTGGGTTTGGTGACGTAACCCATACAGTTTGGCTCCAAATGAACAGTACTACTACAGTACTACAGTACCACTACAAAACTACTGAACTACTACAGTACTACTAGAATACTACTTCAGACCTACTGCAGCACAACAGCACTACTACAGTACTACTGCAGTTTGTATTGGGGAGTTGTAAGTGCATCTGACTAGTGTGACAGTGTGGAGCATAAGGAGGCTGTGTGAGGCTGTGTGAGGCTGTGTGAGGCTGTGTGAGCTGCAGTCTCCTGCAGAGGAGCAGAGTGTGACCTCAAACAGCTTGAGGTCGTGAGCGAGGAACTTGGGCAGATTGACGTCGATGATGGACCTGAGCAGAAGAGTGTCTTCATTATCCTCTGGAAAGGCCAGCTGCACAGACATAATATGGATCAGTACAAAACCAGGCCTGTGTAACACGGGACCAAAATACACACACAGTTCTACAGAATAGCCTTACTAAACCAAACAAATACAACTCCAGACATGACTTTAGTCAATGAAACTGCAACAGATAACCTAAGAACATGTCACAAGTCCCTCTTTGTGAGAGACAGACACATACGTCATTGATCCCAAGGGAAACGGCAAACTGTTGCTTCAGTTTCCGCTTAATACGGCTGTTGTGGGAAGATTTTCTTTTCATTTGTCGATTGTTAATGATGATCATTTTTCATGGATTTACTGTGTGTATAATGGGAAAAGATCCATTTTTGTTTAATAAAAACCTCTCAGTAATTATTTATTTATTTATTAATCACAAACTAGGGCAAAATCAACATTTTGACAGTTCTAATTATGACTTCTCTTTCAGTGTTCAGCATCATGTTACATGACTTTTCCCACCCAAAAGATATATTCTGTTTTAAATTCTTCATCACTCTGTCAACAGGTCTAATTTTTCTACATTATTCTGAAACCCATGGACAGGCCATGTGGAATAGTTCGATGTCTCATGAAAACATGGGGGTAAAATGTTTTTGTGTGGAAGACATTTTGTCTTTTATCTAAAGGGAGTCAGAGTTGGCACAGCAGAGGATCATGCACACTCTGGATGTACTACAGATGCATGTTCTTCCAGACCTTGAGGTTGCCAGCAGCAGTGAGCACAGACTTCACAGCTCTCATGCCGTAGTCATAGTGATGCTGAGAGGAGAGCTGTTCTGAGCAGAGCCTGTAGGTGGCGACGATCTTCACTGAGAGGGGTCGAGCGGTCACAAAGCCACAGGAGTAGAGCACGATCTCAGCGATCATGGCGTAGTCCGGAACCATCATGGCCACTGTCCGGAACAGGGCCTTTGGGAATCACACACACGGAAGTCCACAATCGTTTTGACAGTCACACAGTCACTGAGTACACACTACACACTACAATACTGAAGATGAAAAAGTAGAAATATTGAGTTTTATGATCTACAACCCAAATACTGATAATGCAACACAGCAAGACACTTATATTCTACGATAGTTCTGAATGATACTGACAGAACAACTCTATAAAATAGTGTCTGCATACTGTAATGTTAAAGCTAAAGTATAGCAGTAAAAGCTTATTTCTAACAGTTTTCCCATAGACTGTGTAAAGAAGTGGACTAAGTGTGACATCACCCACAGCGTACAGCTCCAGTCAAATGAAGCTCACCGAGGTTGCAGTTATAGGAGCCAATTTGGAAATCCGTTTGCATGGAGCCAATCCAGAGTGAGGCTGTTGAAGGTAACGCACCTTCCCACCTTCCGCTGGTTTGGCAGGGGCGGACTCTAGGAAACGCTGTCAGTCAACCGTGATCTCTTGATTTACAGACAACAGCAAAATAAAAATCCCAGGATCACGTAGAGTGGGTTAATACAAAGACCATAATGACGAGTCTGACAGCAGCAGTTACAGAGCCAGGGGCCACAGTTTTACAATAGAATGTGAATTGGAGCTGGAGTCGATGGAGCCAGAAGTGCGAGCAGGTTAATTATGTCCATCCTCTTTATACAGTCTATGAGTTTTCCTAATAATCTCTGAGTCAGAGAAAATGTGTGCAGCTTGATTGTGTGAATGAGAGGGGAGAGGGGTTGTACTTTGAGATTGTCTGGCAGCTCCGAGCGGCCGGCGTATCCAGGGTTCATGGTGATGAACACGGCACAGGATGGGTCCAGTTTCAGCTTTGTGCCTTCAAACAGGAGCATCTCAGAGTTTGCCGCGATACCTGCACAACATATGTGTTCTGTTACACATGAGAGGGACACATGACACAGAACATTCAGGTCTGACCACAAGTTTCACCACTGTTCTCTGGTCCGGCTGTCTGCTGTCAGGGCTCTAACACCAATGTTTAAAACATCTTTTGGACTGCCCGTTTCTCTTCTAAAGACTCTAGGCTGTGGAACTCCCCTCCCTATGACCTATAACTACAAACTGACCAAAACATGTGCAACAGGATTATGAAACTGTGGTTGAAGTGGGACAGGAACTACCACAGAATGTTTGAAATGTTCCTTGTGTCTGTCTTATGTCTTAACTAACTGTACTTTGTAACAAAGTTTAACATTTCTTTCTGGACTCCTATGTCCTGTCCTATAGACAGGTGCTGAAAATGAGCCTGTTAAAGATTTAAAACAACACAGCTAGTCTAATCCAATGCATTTGCTATGTATTCAATAAATAATCCATCCCAGGTGGGTGGAGAGTCCTTGCCTCAAGTGGAGGAGTTCAAATATCTCGGGGTCTTGTTCACGAGTGAGGGGAGGATGGAGCGTGAGGTTGACAGGTGGATCAGTGCAGCGTCTGCAGTGACGCAGTCGCTGTATCGAACCATTGTGGTGAAGAGGGAGCTGAGCCGAAAGGCAAAGCTCTCGATTTACTGTCAATCTATGTTCCTACTCTCACCTATGGGCACGAGCTCTGGGTAATGCCTGAAAGGACGAGATCGCAGATACAAGTGGCGGAAATGAGTTTCCTCTGCAGGGTGTCTGGGAGCTCCCTTAGAGATAGGGTGAGGAGCTCAGTCACACAGGAGGAGCTCGGAGTAGAGCCGCTGCTCCTCCATGTCGAGAGGAGCCAGCTGAGGTGGCTCGGGCATCTGTTCTGATTCCTCGAAGGCGCCTCCCTTGGGAGGTGTTCCGGGCACATCCCACTAGGAGGAGGCCCTGGGGAAGACCCAGGACACGCTGGAGGGATTATGTCTCTCGGGTTGCCTGGGAATATCTCGGGATCCCCCCAGAAGAGCTGGAGGAAGTATGTGTGGAGAGGGAAGTTTGAGAGGCCCTGCTCAGAGTGCTGACCCCCGCGACCCGACCGCAGATAAGCGGAAGAAAATGGATGGATGGATGGATAAATAAATAAACTAGAAAAGCACTCAGAGAGCGCAGACCTCCGCCAAGGACTACCCCCATTTTTTATAGAAATTGCGATAAAATCAGTCTTCTGGATCAGATCCGGATCAGCCTTTGGAATATGAAAGAGGATCCCATTGTCCATCCCTGAGTCAAATTTCATGGGGTTTGGTCAATAATTAACCGAGATATTGAGAAACAAAATTTTTGACCCCAATTACCACTAAAATTTCAAAGTGATCCAGAATCCAGGATTTCTTCCGGATCACCCCCAAAATGAAATCAGTTCTTCCTTTTCACATTTCCAACAAATCCTGAAAATTTCATCAAAATTGGTCCATAACTTTTTGAGTTATGTTGCTAACAGACAAACAAACAAACAAACAGACAAACGCCGGCAAAAACATAACCTCCTTGGCGGAGGTAATAAATAAATAAGATTAAATCAAATAAAAAGTCCCACCTCTCTGTATGGTGAGGATCTGCTGCGCCACCACAGACAGCACCTCCAGGTCGATCCTGTTGAACTCATCGAAACAGGCCCAGGCTCCACACGACAGCAGGCCCTGAGCACCAGGACAGAAGCAGAGTGGGATAGGCTCATGTTTACTAGGACTGCACAATATATTGCTAAGTACCATGAAGCATTCATCAATATATCGCAGTAGGATCAAGGACGGACAAAATGCACTGTTTATAAAATAAATATCTTAATATAATAAGATAAAGCTTAAACCTTGATTAGGATCATGACACAGAGAAGCGGGTTAGGGTCATGACACGGAGAAGCGGGTTAGGGTCATGACACGGAGAAGCGGGTTAGGGTCATGACACGGAGAAGCGGGTTAGGGTCATGACACAGAGAAGCGGGTTAGGGTCATGACACGGAGAAGCGGGTTAGGGTCATGACACGGAGAAGCGGGTTAGGGTCATGACACGGAGAAGCGGGTTAGGGTCATGACACGGAGAAGCGGGTTAGGGTCATGACACGGAGAAGCGGGTTAGGGTCATGACACGGAGAAGCGGGTTAGGGTCATGACACGGAGAAGCGGGTTAGGGTCATGACACAGAGAAGCGGGTTAGGGTCATGACACAGAGAAGCGGGTTAGGGTCATGACACAGAGAAGCGGGTTAGGGTCATGACACAGAGAAGCGGGTTAGGGTCATGACACAGAGAAGCGGGTTAGGGTCATGACACAGAGAAGCGGGTTAGGGTCAGAGGGGTTTTAACCTTGAAGAACTTCCCCAGAGCGATGTAGTTGAGGCCATCAGAACAGTTGAACACCACACACTGTTTGGCCACAGCTTTAGCCAAGTCTTTAGTGGTCTCAGTTTTCCCTGTTCCAGCTGGGCCCTCAGGGGCCCCTCCTAAGTGCAAGTGCAGGGCTCCAAACAGTGTCCTAGAAAAGAGTGAAAAGAAATTACACCCAGGTAACACCAGGCATGTATTATATATTATGCAAAATAGACTCCTGTGAGCTTTAGGACATGTTATAATGTTGTCATCTCCTCAACAACACACCTGGAGTTGTGTTTTATTTCATTCACACATGTTGGAGTAATCCTGCATTATTAGCCTGTCTACATCTCCAAAGCTCTAAATGCTCCGTTTCACCTTGTGATGTCATGAAGAGATAGTTTTCATGTGAACAGCTCCTTTTACCTTGAGTTCAGTAGAGATTGGCAATGATTCTAGTGAAGGTGTGTGGAGTTTAAAAACACACTGGAGCACTTCCTGTACCACATGACATCACAAGGTGGAACAGAGTCTTTTCTGTTTGAGAGAAGCTTACATATGCAGGTTTCTGTATTAAACATGTGTGAATGAAACAAAACACAACTCCAGGTGTGTTTGTGTTGAGGAGTAGCAGTAGACAAGACGACAAAGAGCAGAGGTCTTAATACAATCCAAACCTTTCAATAAAAGGGTCAAGTCCTACAAGAAGTAATACATATACTATATGCTACATATATAGCAGACACTGGATAATATCATTAGTTTCAGTAGTTGAGGTCAATAACAGAGAATAGCAGTTGTGATAGTAGTAGTATTAGCAATAGTAGTAGTATTTGCATTTGTATTGGTATTATTAGCCCTTGTAGTGACAGCAGTAGTAGTACCTCTAGCAGCAGTAGTAGTATTAATAGTACTGGTTGGTGTAGTAATAGTATTAGCAGTAGTATTAGTAGTATTATAAGAAGGGCACCTGTAGCAGCGGTCAGTGAGCGGCGTGATGACCAGGCGGGGGGTGTTGCCCAGATACTCGTATCCGTATGGCAGACCTGCGTTGATCATCTTGGTTTGGAGCTGGTTGTCCTGGTCACACAAAGCAGCACACAGACATTTATAATAGAGAGTCAAGACTAACAGCTGCTGGAACTTTGTAAACTCTGGGATTCTCATGTTGTGTACATTTATGGATAGAAAGTGATGGCTGCATTTCAGAGCAGGACTATGCCAAAAATCATGAGATTGATAGATAGTGACCTCAACTTGGGTCGATCTCGATGATACGGCAAGATACAGCCACAGGCCCACAGCCAATCATGTGGCAGTACGAGCGAGTGGTACTGAGGAGGATTTACACTCTTGTCTTGTTTTCTCATGAGTTTCTCATGAGAAACTTTAAATGTGAATTTCCCCTGGAATTATTGGTCCTATCAACATGAAATAAAAAACTGTAGTGGTCCTGACATCCTGCTGTCTTCTGCCTGTTTGTGTTTTCAGTAAGATGGAAGATTGAATTGACAATCAAGTGTATGAAAAGATACAGGTTCTGCCTTTAGCTCTCTGTTATATAAGTTATAATTCAAAGACTATGCAGGACACCAAAGGAATCCTGTGGACAGGACATTATTAAAATAGAATTATAGAATTATATATATTAATGTGTAAACTTTGTGTCTGGATTGTGTCTGTGGCCGCATCTGTCTTACATCTGATGAATGATGGAATCAGTATGAAAAAGATGCAACTCATAAAGCACAAACTGTCTCCTTCACCCCAGAAATGACTAAATAATACTAGCCGGGACACTCTTAGAATCTTAGAGATTTTTAATCTCAGGGAGGTTCTCCTGGATGACTAAAGGTTAAACAAAAAAGTTTTTAAAAGCTAGCTGATGCGTCCTAATGCATTCATGAGCAGAGGTTATGATGATTAACGCTGCAGGCAGTCGTGAACAGAGAAGATACATATTATTGATAACATTATTATTGATACATCATTTTCATTCACAAAAAAAGACTAGTGTAGGCTCTATGATAATGAGACCGAGGCTCACGTACCACCCAGTAATATCGCAGCTGACTGAGCCACTCAAAGTCGTTCTCATTGCTGATGCGTTTCTGGACCAGAGAGGCCAGAACGTCTCGAGCGTGGACGTCCAGCACCACCAGCGCTCCCAGAGTCACACGGTTCTGTTTGGACAGCTTCCCCCGCACCAGAGTCACGATGTCATCGATCTGACGGTTATTCTGCTGCAGGTAGGCCTCCAGAGCCTGGAGAGTCAATCCAACAGACACATTACTATCATACCTGAGAAATGTGACACAAACATAGTACAAGAGGACCCTCTGCATCTGAGCATCGTTAGACTGATCCTCAGCTCTGACAATGTGCTGAATGTCCTATCTGCTCGTCACCCCCATTTCACACTCTTCAGTCTTCTTCTTCAGTGAAGTTGTATCTTATTACAAAACGAATATGTGTGAAGAGTTTATGGTGTTTGATTTCTAACAAAAAGGTGAGAGTGACATGCTGAAAAATAGTTGATTAATGCCAGCTTGGTGTAGCTGCTGTAGCTCCAGTTTGACTTGAGTAACATCATTTCAGACAGAGCAGTGCCCCCAGTTAGCTTCAGCCCGTTCCTCCACAGAATGCTGATGACGTCAACTGAAAGGTACGAGTAGATTCTGAAGTACGGCTATTAGGGTCTTATAAAAGTGGTTGTAATGCTGCCAAAACATTTGAAATGGCATTCCACTCTACATTCCTGTGGAGTTTAATTGAGACGGGAGCAAAAATGTCAGCCCCTGGATCTATTTTTAGAACACACACACATTCTAGCCACACTTGATCTTTATGGTGCCCTGATAAAGTCCCGTCTGCACCACTTACAGTCTGAACTCCTCATGTGGCAGTAAGTCACGTCTTTTCACAGGTGGCTGCACACTCATTCTGCATATTTACGACTGGCCTTTTGACAACACGAGGTGAGTGAATCAGCAGTGTAATGGGATTATCACAGGCTTTCATTTAATTCAGTTCATAAATGTCACGCAGCAGCTGGTGGTTCTGATTTACAGCACAGAAAAACAGTAAAGCTTTACAAGAGAGCAGAGCATGTTATAGTGCAGGGTTATGACGTGTGCATGCGGGGGGCAGATGATAATACTACACAGAACAGCTCATATTCATTTCACAAACAGGACAGTGAGCTACAAGAATAATACGGTGCATTTGTGAACACAGGAGCAGAGCCACTGGTCTAAAGAGGCAGAGAAGAGGTGAGGACAGCGGGAGGACTACTGCTGTTACTGTATTATTATGTGAACATCATCCTGTTATTTAGCAAAGCCATTTTTATCAGGTCATGATATTTTTTTAATCTGAAATTTGAGATTAGACAAGTAAATCTGGCAGCAATTCACAGGACCCATCAAACTTGTGTGAGTGTGGGGGTATGGGAGTACATAGAAGTACAGAGATGGGGAGAGAGGCAGTTGCCATGGGAACAGGGGGAGGCAGGAGGATGCTGCAGAGGAGGATGTCGTCGCCATGGTAACGCCAGACCAGTAAAAAGAGTTTGATCCACCGACTGCAGCAGTAATGAAGACAAATGCTGAGAGGCTGAGCGCTGTCACTGAGCTGCATTATGTAATGGGCACAGGATAAAACAGATATGGAGGTTTAGACACAAACACAGCTCTGCCTTGGGATTCTGAGGCAACATTCTGGTCCTAATGGTGAAAGATCCTCAGGCACAGACACATGTCCCTGTGTGCTCATTTCTGCTTAAAATAGACTCAATGTGAATGAATGTGTGTATGTTTCTCAGAGAAGCAGGACACTAAAACAGCATTCTGAGCTATAAAGGAAATCAAGAAGCTATGTTGACAATATACAGTACAGGATGTGTGTGTCAGATGCCCTCCCATCCTCCTTTAGCCCTGTTGTATTTTTGCCTAGTGAACCTGAGTTTGGTTTGTGGGATGTGAACTACACACACTTTATAGTAGATGAAGCTTTTCAAGTCAAATTATGACCTGGTGTTCTGACTTTAGACTAGAACTTCAAACTCAGTATCAATACTGTGGAATAGATTTGATACTCGGTACCAATTCTGAAACCATGATGATGGCCAAAACCACTTTTTATTTAGACAATAGAATGTGATTTTCATCATTAAATGGTGTTATGTTATATGTGTGTGATTCTCATGTGCATATGTGCAGTAGGTTCATGTTGGTCCATGTGTGTGTACTAGTCTATGTGCTCTGACACTTGTTCTGATACAGCTCAATCATTCTAAAGACTGACCTGGGGTCCAGACTTGATGGCGTCATGGATGTACTGTGTCCAGTAGACCTGAGACACACACAGGACGGCCTGACCGGGCCAGGCTCTGACCCAGTTGATCCTCAGGTCTTTGGGATAGGCCGCGATGGCCTCCCCAATCACCTGGAAAACCAAAACGCATGTTTATTACAACAGGATTTATAAAGGGCTCATCTTTAGAAAAGTTTTGCAGCTAAAAAAGGGTTTGCATCTGACAATGTGTTTGAAACTGAGACTAGTCGGCAGACATCCAGAGCTCAATATCACTGAAGTTCCTGCTCTGAGCAAGACTCCACACTGTCCTAAAGACAACAAGACTCTACACTGTCCTAAAGAAAGCAAGACTCCACACTGTCCTAAAGACAACAAGACTCTACACTGTCCTAAAGACAACAAGACTCTACACTGTCCTAAAGACAACAAGACTCTACACTGTCCTAAAGACAACAAGACTCTACACTGTCCTAAAGACAACAAGACTCTACACTGTCCTAAAGAAAGCAAGACTCCACACTGTCCTAAAGACAACAAGACTCTACACTGTCCTAGAGTTGTGCTGACCTAGGAGAAGGAGGTGTTCTTGGATTTTTTTTTATTTATCTTCTGCTGCAAAAATAAAATTGACCATTGGGGGACAAATTATTTTTATTTTTTACCAAAAACTCACAAAAGAGATCAGCTCATTTGTATGTATTTTGCTAACAGTGACATTCTCTGTGTGTGTGGCAAAATATAATTTCCTTTTTATTTTTGGAACCTTTTTCAGTGCAATTTCAAACTTTAAAAAGCGCTTTCTTTTGAATAAAGAGGTATTTTTCAGGCAGCTCGGTGCTGAGAGACTGCTGTGGGCTTTTTATTTAGAAAACAACAGTTCACCTTTTCGAGTCATAAATTATTCAGAAACCATTTACCACCTATAAATAAGACATTGGTTTCTACCCCCTGGTGCAGCCCAATAAATAAGTGCCTATGTTTAGCTCGTTACTTCTACTCTGAACCATCACTTTGTGTATTCAACGCACATTCATCACTATTCACAAATGAACGACGAGAATACATCAATGCTGCAGTAAATATAAGAACACCGACTGCCTAAAGAATACACAGAAAGCTTTATTTTTAATGTGAAGAGACAACTGCACAAAATGGGACTACACTGCTGTCGTATAAGTTTATGTTAAAAGGGCTGTGGGTGAGCTTGTAATACATTTCATTGTCAAAATTTAAAGGAAGAAGAATAATAAAAATCAGACATCTGTAAACATTTTGACACTTTTGCGTTGATTAATAATAATTCTGTTCGTTTGTGGCTCAGAGTTGAAATGCGAGTGCAGAGGGGCACAACAAACCCTCATATTATTCACTAAATAAACCTATGCTTATTTCTGATGTTTTACCTTTATTGTGACTGACTAGAGCGATAAGTGTGATCTCTATTAAAAGCAGTACTTTGCACTGCCTTTCTACTGCTCAGCCTATATATACTAAATACTATATACTATATTTTAATCTCATGGTTCAGTATATGAAAGCTGGAACAGTAGTTTTCGGGGGTCAACATTTATCGTGTGCAGTTTTTCTTCTGGCACATTTTTGTTTTTTTCTGGGCAATACAATAAGATTTAATCTGTAAAATGATGAATGAATGAACCATAGTGTAAGTTTCAGAATAGTTTTTGTGGTTTAAAGGGATAGTTCGGGTTTTTTGACATGAATCTGTATGGCATCCCCGTGAGCAGTGTCGTGCATCCAGACTGACTTTACCCCCGACAGCGTCCGGTGAGCCGAGACCCTGGCCATTTTCGGTGCTGATGAAAGTAGTCCGGCAAGTTTTTCCTCTCAAAACAATATGTATTCAAAAGAGTGATACATTTGCTATTTTCTTTCCGTTCGTATCACTGCGCGCTACCCACAGGTGACAGCTGCGCCTGGTTCACTTTGTTTACTACTTGGAATGTTAGCGACAACATGTCTGATTACGACACCGACGATGAAGACATTGCCTTTACCACAAAGCCATGTATCTTATGTATCTTATACAAGTTTATATACTTATGGCTCTAGCTCTCACGTTAGCTCTCTCTCGCATTGTGGCGGTCTGAGCATGTAAACACTGCCGAACAACTGAAGAAAGTGATGGATCCGTGTGCGGCTGTCACCTGGCAGCAGCGCACAGTGATACGAATGGAGAGAAAATAGTGCCAAGCGATAATGAGGTCTGACTTTTTGGAGGACGATGGTTTTGTGATGCAAATGTATCACTCTCCACATATTGTTTTGAGAAGAAAAACGCTTTATTATACAGTCCCCAGCCAACTTGCCGGACTACTTTCATCAGCACCAAAAACGGCCAGTATCTCGGCTCACCGGACGCTGTCGGGGGTAAGTCAGTCTGGATGCACGACATTGCTCACGGGGATGCCATACAGATTCATGTCAAAAACTATCCCTTTAAATCTGTTCTTCTGGAATATGTTGTCAGTGGTGTAGGCTAGTTTTGATATGATTGTTACTCGTCCATATTTAGTTGAGCTAGTGGCCTCTCTGGTGCTCATGTGAGAGCATTAAAGCTAATTTTAATTTTGTTGTGAGTAGAACCTTGTGCAGGGAGGCGATCATGCCAGTCTCCAGCTCCAGCAGCCACTTCTGCACCTGTCCACGAGCTTTGGACGTGGAGATGAGGTCAAGCAGCTGAACCACCTCCCCCTCAGAACTCTTCATGTGAGTGATGTCCAGAACATCAGTGAACACCACACTGGCTATGCCCTCAAAGCACTTCTTCAGAAAAGGCTGCACACTGCAGGAGCGGAGAGGGAGGAGAGAGGACAGGAAGAGGAGGAGGAGGGGAGGAGAGAGAGAGAGGAGAGGAGAGAGGAGAAGAGGAGAGGAGAGAGAGGAGGAGAGGAGAGAGAGGAGAAGAGGAGGAGGGGAGGAGAGAGAGACAGAGACAGTTAGGAGAGGAGGGGAGGAGAGAAGTGGGGAGGAGAGAGAGATGAGAGGAGGAGGAGGAGAGGGGGAGAGGTGGGGAGGAGAGACAGGAGAGGGGGAGAAGGGGAGGAGGAGAGAGAGAGAGAGAGAGAGGAGAGGAGAGAGGGAGGAGAGGGGAGAGGAGGGGAGGAGAGAGGAGGGGAGGGGAGAGGAGGAGAGGAGAGAGGAGGAGAGAGGAGGAGAGAGCAGGAGGAGGCGAAGGAGAGGAGGAGAGCGAGAGAGGAGAGGAGGGGAGGTAAAGGATAGGAGGAGACAGGAGAGTTTCATTAGTACATTAGTTTTGTTTTTAGAATGTTTTGTGCTTTGTTCCATATCAAATACAGTCAAATGAAATCCCCTCACTGTTTAACAGAGACTTGACAGAACAGGTCAAATGTGTGTTGTACCGTGTGGGGTCTTTGGTCTCTGACAGGATCTCCAGCAGCTCCTCGTTGGACAGGAAGAAGAAACGTGGGAAATCAAGACGTTTCTTCTCCAGATAATTGTTGAGACCTTTCAGAATCAGCTCCAGAACAGCATTGGATTGTTTCAACTTCTCCAACATCTTGTCGATGGAGATCACAGCCAACACATGCTTGTCCTGCACACATGGAAAGAGCAGCAGACATGACAGAATGTAATGAACTGAATCAGAACATGAGCCACTGTTAGGTTTCAGATGACATCACAACAACCTAAGGGCCAGTAATATTGAATACAAATGAATCTTCAAATGCAGATTTCTGTACTTATTTAGTGTTTTCATGAATCTAGTCACCAATAGAAATAACCACTATCAACATCTGTAAATGTACCTTTTGGATGTTTCATATATTAATCAATAAGTTTATTATATGAAATAATCAATAAGATGATTATATGAAACATGAACCCATCTGGGAGAAGGACATCATCACATTCTAGAATCTGTAAACCTCTAAAAACATCTGTATGTGTTAAGAAGTATGCTGGTGTCAGACATGTTTCATTCAGTCATCACTTCTTTACTGAACAATAGATACATATAAACATCAGCTCTTGAGCTGGTACCTGTAACGGGAGGATTACTCTTTTGTGCATGTTTTTGGAGGATTTGGATATTTCTGGAAATACTAATGAGGAGCACCGGCTCTGCCCACGCCTGTCACAATAACACAGTTTGAAGTGTGATATATTGCTCAAGAAAATAAACGATAATACTGAAACTACTTTTTCCACTGACACAAAAATCCAGGAATAAGCTGGATTAAACTTTAAACATACAATCTCTTTGAAAATCATGAGTTGCAGTAAAACCACAGAAATGAAAAATTTCAGTACTTGGTCGGAATCTATGAGCCATAAAAATCATGAATTCAATCTCAAAGCTCAAATCTTATTGTAGTAGAGAAATATCAATAAAAGTTCCTACTTTATACTTTGCAGTATGGCAAAGCATGGGGTGTTCTACATGTATTTGTATGGTGGAATGTTCAGCAGGTATCATGAGGACACAATGCACACATTTTCAGGAGTCTGTGATCAGTGCGAGCATCCGTGGTCGTGCTTCTACAAAAAGGTGAGAGTGAAGTAAAAACTATTGGCTGATGCTAGCTTGTGACTGTAATATTATTTGAGAGCGATTTGTTTAACAGTAAAAATGTCGTTCAAACTAAATCATTTTTTTCTGGCCAGATCCTGTGAAAATAAAACTCCTTCTAGCAAAGCCTCAGACAGCAGTGCCTTCAGTTAGCATCACACTCTCAATGAATGTTGATGTCATCAGCTGCAAACTACCAACAGCACAACGAGAAAGTACCACAATAAATACTCACCCTACAAATGTATTCTTCCATCTATCATTTACTCATATAACTGGCCTATCTCTGCCCATGTATGAGAGAATGACACCACCGCACACACACACAGACACGCACACACACACACACATTTGAATGGCAGCAGTTGTATATATTGCAGTGTTGTGGAGGTCTATAGCAGCTGTGTGGAGTGGTAGAGTGTGTGTTTACTGTCTTTGAATGGCACAGTCTGTGAGTCCTCAGCAGGAGATAGCTGTTGAGGATAGTGAGCACAGAACAAAGAAACCCAGACACAGACGAGGGAAGAGCGAGAGCAGCCCCAAGTGGACAGTGCCGGCATGACATTCTATTTTAACTCACTGGATTGTTTTCTTCTCACAGTGCTGTGTAAAACATACACTGACTACACTGCTCTGACTGCAGTCGCTATAACACTATATTTTGATGTGTTTTGATGCAATTATGTGTTTTTACATTACTATTTCACACATCATAGTGGATTTCAGGTGGCAAATTGTGCCTTTGTTTTGAATTCTGTGAAATGAATTAGTCAGAGCTTTGAACATTGTTGTAGTAGTTTCTTCTGATTGACCCTCTGATGTTGTATTTGGAGTATTTGTGCATGTCTGAGTCATCTTTACTCTCCTTTATTCAAGATGTCATTGCTTTGATCTACCCGTTTTCACCTCCACCGATACACGCCCACTGTGACCATTTCCTTCTCCATTTTTTTTTTTTTTTTAGAATTATTGCAATAATCATGCTGTATATGGACAAAAGCCATAAATATTCCGTCTCATATTGTTTTAAATGTGATTGTATAGTGTGAGCGTTCCTCTGACACTGTCCTCGCCCCTCACCAGAGCCACTTGCTTCATGGTCTCTCTCCAGGTGTTTTCCACAGCTGTGAACTTGTGTTTCTCCTCGGGCATCTGCATTGTGATGTCAGGGGAGCTGAAGACGGGCTCCACATAAAACCACGTGAACTGGAACTTCAGCCACTCATCCAGGATCTCCTGTAGCAGCAGCAGCTTCCCCTCCCACTCTCTGCACATGACACATTACACTGTTAGTCAAGGGTTTCAGGCAAATTTTTCCTTTCTCATTTGAAGATTTTGTGAGGACTTTTCCCCATTCAAAAGATACTGTCTTTTGTTCTATACTTTGTGTTATTGCTATAATGACAGACGGCAGAAACCGTCATGTTCATGGCATAAAGCACTCTCAGGTAAAGGAGGTACAAAACTTTGTCTTGTGAACAGTCCATTTCCTCACCCCACAGGCCATTTTTATTTTATATGAAGAAATTCCTTTAAACCTCTCAGATTTCTGTTACTTGTAAATAACTTTTCACTTGTGCATATGACATAATAATGTGTAATGGAGCACACACCTGATCTCCTCCTCGAAGGGCTTGATGAACGGGGAGCCTCTCATGGTTTGAGTCTTGACCATGTGGTCGTCCAGGAGCATCTGGATGTCCTCCACAGAGTGCAGGATACTAGTGCCTGTGTCTCTGTAGGCCAGCAGGTGGAACTCCATGTCCCTCCACTCATATTTCATCTTCTCTAGGGCCTTCTCCAGACTGTGCTCTTTACTGGCTGCCTCGCTGATGCCCTCGAAGCTGCCCAGGAACAGCTCCAGGTTGAGGGACAGGAAGTGGGACACATTGCTCTGGTGTGGGGTGGGGTCCAGAGGGATCTTGGCTACTTCAGACATGGCTGACCAGTGTCTCTCCCGCAGACCAGGGTTACACAGCACCTGTGAAGAAACGACACAACTGTGACACCTTTGTGGCCCAGAATGTCTCAGAAACTTAAACTTGTATTTTTACAAAACTCTTCTGTAGTTACAAAACAAAACATATGGATCATTGTACCTTATGCTGCTTGTGTTTAATGGAAATAAATGATATATTCAGTCTGTACCCCAGTATTGTTTGCTATCGGCTATCAACATCAGTATGGGAACAGACAAAGCTGGATCAGTGCATCTCTACAATGAACACAGCACTATGAACACAATCCACAGCTGTGATATAGAATATGTCCTCATTGTTCTGTTATTTGTAGTGTAGCTGCAAACCAGCTCTCTGCCTGCTTATCACAGAACAGAATAACTATCATTATGAAGAATACTGTTGGTAATTGATGTTTGAGTATTTCAGGGTGTATTTTGGTAAATAAATAAACTGTCACTTTCTCTGTTCTATTTGAATGTCTATTACAGTTAGCGACAGCATTTGGTTCTTTGTCATTTCATTTCATATTTGCCCACAACACATTTAAAAATGGTCCAATGTTGTCGTGATAAGGAAAAGCAGTGTCTTAAAATCTGACCTGGACCATGGGGATGTGCTCCTTGAACTGCTCCACTGTGCTCTTCACACTGGAGGTGATGTGCAGAGCTTTGGGCACACCTGCAAAGCCCTTCTCCAGTTTGTACAGAGTCCTCCAGTAGTTCCCCACATCGCCCTCCACCTGGAGACACAAAACAGCAATGCATGTCACGCTCTACTCTCCATCACTGCACAAACACACTGTTAGAGGAATTAGGCTTAGGGTTACGTTAGGGGTTAGGGCTCAAGGTTAGGAGGTTATGGCCAAGATCACGGTTAGGGGTTGGGGTTAGGACTAGATCTAGGGTTAGGTTAGGGTTAAGGATTAAGGGTTAGGAGGATAGGGTCAGGTTTAGAGCGAGGGCTATGGTTAGGGCTAGTGTTAGGGGCCAAGGGTTAGGGTTAGGGTCACAGTCATGGTTAGGGTGGTGTGAGGGGATAGAGAAGGAGTAGGAGGTGAGGGTGAATGGGACCCAGAGACTATAGCTAGGATTAGGGGATTAGGGATAGGGCATAAGAATGGGTGGGGCATAAGTACAGGTGAGGGCCAATCATTGCTGATTGCAGTTATACTTTGTTGTTGAATTGAAAAAGAAAGTTAGACATAAAACATTATATCCAGTAGGTATCTTTGTCAAATATTATACAATAGAATACAAGTGCGCTGTAGATTGCAGTGTAAAGAGTCCTTGCCTTGTCCGGGTTGACCTCAGACATGGGCCCGTGCAGCCACTTGTTGTGTTGCTTCAAGAAGTCAGACGCTGTTTCATAAAGTCTGAGGAACGGTGTGAGTTCGTCCAGGATCTTCTTCCTCTGAGGATACTGAGAGACGGGCCACCCAAACGCCTCCTCATCACGGTTAATCTCATCTATCTACAAATGAAACGTACACACTTTATTTATCTATATGTAATGCATGTGTCTCTTTATAGAACGTTCAAGAGTCAAAGGCATGTTTTCTGTTTACTCAGTGTTAGCTTGAGCAGTAGTCTTATTGTTGTTTCCCATAATAAGAATGTAAAACCTACAACAAAGATTTTGATCCAGTTTCACCTTTTTTGATCTGAAACTATAACAAGTGTGTGAGTGGTTGGGAAACACTGTCTTAACGGTGGATAGTACTCAGATACATTTACTTGAGTAACTTTTTTAAAGAAATTTTACTTTTCAGAGTACTTTTCTAGCAGCATTCGTTTATTCCTACTTTTGTATTTTTTGTTTATTGAAGGAACAGTACTCATACATGAGTAAAAGTGGTTACTGTTAGTAAAGCTCTAAGTGACAAAAGCTTTATGTTGACAATATGAAATGATCTGAACATTTGTGTTTCTTACAGCTCCTTCAGATATGATTTAGTTTGTCTAAGTTTTGAATCTGTCCATTGAAAATAAGAGATTTTGTGACTTAATGTTACTGAATGTTTTATCCTTCAAATTACATTAACTTCAAATTATAAATCACTTATTCTTTAAGTTACTCTTACTAGTAGAGTAATACTTTTTTACTCTTACTTGAGTAATTTCAAAGGGTAGTCATAATAAGCTCCATCTTCAGCCTACACCTTTTCAGTCTATGTATGTTAAATATGACTGTCTGCGAAATATTGTCAAAATATACCTGTGACCGAAATCAATCAATCAATCAAATCAAAATTTATGGGACCACTACTTTGTACTTCTACTTGAGTTATATTATTTTGAAGTAACATGACTCTTACTTGGGTACAATTTTTGGCTACTCTATCACCTTTGCTGGTTTCTTTTCCCAAATGCAGAAATGTGGATGACCTGTAAACTGCTTCCTGCTAGTGTCTCTGAACTACAGTAAAGCAGTGGTACCTTCTCCAGGGCCACCTCCAGCTTGTGGTGCAGACTTTGGGCCTTTTTCAAGTATTGCTCAAGTTCCTCCAAATCGCCAAAAGTGACAAACTCTTCCACTTGAGCAGCATAACTCTTCAGCTCCTCCACAAAATGCTCACAGGACATCTGCAAGGTGAGAAAAACACTACAGGTACTGCTCCTTACAATTCAGTGCCTTGTTACTATGGAGCATGTCTGGACCTCCAGCTACAGTAGTCCTGCCCAAGACCAGCTCAAGATCTGGAGGTGGGATCAAATGCAGGTTTAACCCAGCGACACAGAAGGATGGGTCAAATGAAGGAGACACATCAGTCTCACCCACTGGTTCCAGAGGTAAATTTTCCATTCATTTTTCCCATACACTTTAAAAAAAAAAAATCTAATATTAACAGTTCAAAGACATCGCTATGTGCTGACTAATATCCATAATGTGGTTGTTTCAAGCCCAAAAAGCATGTTTAAAATGCAAAATTCAGCAAAATGTTATAATAACTCAGCAGTTTAAAACATTTCAGAAACAGATGTTCATAAAATGGCAAGTCTTGTGGTCATTAGTCACCACAGAGCTGATTAGTCCTGAGCTTTCAACTTTTGGAAAGTCCATGAGAAAAATGAATGAGAAATGTACTTGTTAACCAGGGGCGGGCGGCCACTGCTGAGCTCCATAAAGTACCATAACTTTAACAATAGTGGCACAGGCTGTAGAGTGGCCATGCTGTAACCAGAGGGTCACAGTTTGAATTCATTCTCTCCTGTCTGCAGTGTTGCTGTATCTTTGGCAGGACACTGTAATGTGACTGTGTGCCTGGTGGTGGTGAGAGGTGGGTATTGCCCCTGGGCAGCCGTGGCTCTGACCTTGAGGGCGTGCTGGTAGTCCTCGGTTTTCTTGGCCACGATCTGCTGGTGGTGTCTGAACTCGGAGGGCATGCGCTCCAGCCAGCCCATGGTCTCTGCGTTGAGCCTCGTGTGCAGAGGAGAGAATGTCACAAAGTCCACGAGGAAACACAACTGTGTGGTTGAGTCCATCACCCTCTGACGCAGCTGTGGCATCTCTGTGGACTGCACTTTGTTCATATAGGCCTGGCCACAGTACAGGAGAGGTCATGTTACACAGGGACTACATACAGTACCACTGTGGGCAGTGACAAGACTCAATAACAACAACATGATCAGCTCAAAGCCAGACTTCAGAGATAAACCAGTACTAAGTTAGACTACTCATTTAACTAAAAAAAAAACAGTTAAGACCATTATATTTTGCTAAACATTACATTTTTCCCCATTTTATTAATATGATTATTTTTTCGTTAAAATTGTATTGTATTGTCGTACTTGTATTGTAATAAAATTGTACTTCCAGTTTGGAAATGATGACATCACACTAGGGAATTCTGTTCTAGGTAAAATGTACCTCTGATGTACACTGGGCCACAACCTCTCTAATGTACACAGAAAATATGATCTGACAAAAGAACACGTTTATTCTGTTGAAATATCATTAAAGTATCACAAAATATGGACAGAATTCTTTCTAGTGTGTATCAATGTGGAACTCTCTACTTCCTGTAATTTTCATCACATTTTCCAACTTTTCTTCACAAATTGCTTATTGATTGGAGCAAAACTATCTTTTATATTTACAACAGGTATTATCCCACTACATTAAGTAAAAATTGGAGAATCATAATAGCCTGTAGTACACACTAACTTTAAAAGAAGGGTAGGTCTAAAAGCTGAGTAAAAACTTTCTATAAACAAAGTAATGTGAATGCTCCACCTTGAGTTCCATGAGCTTCTGCGTGTCTGGAGGAGTCTTCCGGGCCATCTCTGTGATCTTCTCAAACTCCACACACAATCTGAAGAGCCACAGCAGTGAAAACGCTTATTCAAATCAAAAGGCCTCACTGTCTGCTCTTCTAATCTACTCAAGGGTTAAAATAACAATAGAATATAAATGTCTATTCATACTTTGCAGTGACATCATGCTGGGGGTGTTATGCATGAATTTCTATGAGGGAATGTTTAGCAGTTACCATGGTGACACATGTACACATTAATGTACACAAGTGTTTAGATGATCTGAACACTAAAGACAGATACAAAATGGTTTTAAACAATACATTTTCAGGAGCCTGTGATGAATGCGAGAGTTCATGGACCTGTTTAGGAATTTGATTTTATACAAAAAAAGTGAGAGTGACTTACTGAAAAACTGTTGGATAATAGTAGCTAGCTTGGGCTTGTTATTTGAGAGATTTTTTTTTAACAGGACAAATACACTTACATTTGATTAATTATTATAAGTTCCAACTAAATAAAATAAAAAAATAAGAGAACTTTAGACAGAGCAGTGCTTCTGGTTGGCATCAGACCCACAGGGAACATTGACGATCGCTGCAGAGTATCAGTGAGCGAGTAGGCAGTGAGTAAGTCTTACTGTCTGTTGATGTTCTGGTGGTCACGTAACATCTTCTCGGTCAGTTTGTGCTGCAGATCCTGAGCTCTCTCAGTCAGAGTCTGGATCAGTTTGTGAGACTGGACCTCAAACAGGCCCAAACGCTCCACCTGCACTCACACCAGGTCCAATGACAGAAACTACAGGCAGATACTGAGACTACAGTGGCACAAGCATTAGACATATTTGAATGATTTTATTTCATCTTAATCTTTAATTTTATTGAACTGAACACTTATTACCTCAGCTTACTTCTGTATGTTTATGACAATACAACAAGCATGAAGTATAATTACTTTTAGCAGTAGTTTGTTCCGCTTGTTTTTAGACTATGGGGGCCAAAAAAAACAACAACTCATATCCATCCATCCATCCATTTTCGTCCGCTTATCCGGGGCCGGGTCGCGGGGGCAGCAGCCTAAGCAGGGACTCCCAGACTTCCTTCACCCCAGACACGTCCTCCAGCTCCTCCGGGGGGACCCCGAGGCGTTCCCAGGCCAGTCCAGAGACATAGTCCCTCCAGCGTGTCCTGGGTCTTCCCCGGGGCCTCCTCCCAGTGGGACATGCCCGGAACACCTCCCGAGGGAGGCGCCCAGGAGGCATCCGAAACAGATGCCCGAGCCACCTCAACTGGCTCCTCTCGACGTGGAGGAGCAGCGGCTCTACTCCGAGCTCCTCCCGTGTGACTGAGCTCCTCACCCTATTTCTAAGGGAGCGCCCAGCCACCCTGCGGAGGAAACCCATTTCAAGCGCTTGTATCCGCGATCTCGTCCTTTCGGTCACTACCCAGAGCTCATGACCATAGGTGAGAGTAGGAACGAAGACTGACCGGTAAATCGAGAGCTTCGCCTTTCGGCTCAGCTCCCTCTTCACCACAACGGTCCGATACAGCGACCGCATCACTGCCGAAGCTGCACCGATCCGCCTGTCAATCTCACGTTCCGTCCTCCCCTCACTCGTGAACAAGACCCGGAGATACTTGAACTCCTCAACTTGAGGCAAAGACTCCCCATCCACCCGGAGAGGGCAAGCCACCTTTTTCCGGTCGAGAACCATGGCCTCAGACTTAGAAGAGCTGATCTTCATCCCAGCCGCTTCACACTCGGCTGCAAACCGCCCCAGTGCACATTGCAGGTCCTGGTTTGATGAAGCCAACAGGACAACATCGTCCGCAAACAGCAGAGATGAGATCCTGTGGTCCCCAAACTGGACTCCCTCCGGCCCCTGACTGCGCCTAGAAATTCTGTCCATAAATATAATGAACAGAACCGGTGACAAAGGGCAGCCCTGGCGGAGTCCAAAATGCACCGGGAACAGGTCTGACTTACTGCCGGCAATGCGAACACAGCTCCTGCTCCGACCATACAGGGACCGGACAGCCCTTAGCAAAGGGCCCCGGACCCCATACTCCCAGAGCACCCCCCACAGGACACCATGAGGGACACGGTCGAATGCCTTCTCCAAGTCCACAAAACACATGTGACCTGGTTGGGAAAACCCCCATGAACCCTGGAGCACCCTATGGAGAGTGTAGAGCTGGTCCAGTGTTCCACGGCCAGGACGAAAACCACACTGCTCTTCCTGGATCCGAGGTTCGACTATCGGCCGGATTCTCCTCTCCAGTACCCTGGAATAGACCTTACCGGGAAGGCTGAGGACTGTGATCCCCCTATAGTTGGAACACACCCTCCGGTCCCCCTTCTTATACAGAGGGACCACCACCCCGGTTTGCCAGTCCAGAGGTACTGTCCCCGACCGCCACGCGATGTTGAAGAGGCGTGTCAGCCAAGACAGCCCTGCAACATCCAGAAACTTAAGGTACTCAGGACGGATCTCATCCAACCTCTGAGCCTTGCCACCAAGGAGCTTTCCAACCACCTCAGTGACTTCAGCCAGGGTGATGGATGAGTCCGCCTCCGAGTCCCCAGCCTCGGCTTCCTCCTTCCACCACCGGACAACGTCCCCAGTCGAGGTCAGCAGCTCTCCCCCCACACTGTAAACAGTGTTGGTGAAGAACTGCTTCCCCCTCCTGAGGTGCCGGACGGTTTGCCAGAATCTCTTTGAGGCCGTCTGATAGTCCTTCTCCATGGCCTCCCCGAACTCCTCCCAGCTCCGAGTTTTTGCCTCCGCGACCATACGGGCTGCAGCACGCTTGGCCCGCCGGTACCTGTCAGCTGCTTCAGGAGTCCCCCGAGCCAGCAAGGCCCAATAGGACTCCTTCTTCAGCTTGACGGCATCCTTTACTTCCGGTGTCCACCACCGGGTTCGGGGATTGCCGCCGCGACAGGCACCACAGACCTTACGCCCACAGCTCTGAGCAGCCGCATTGACAATAGAGGCCGAGAATGAAGCCCACTCGGACTCCATATCTCCAGCCTCCCCCGGAATCCGGGAGAAGTCCTCCCGGAGGTGCGAGTTGAAAGTCCCTCTGACAGAGGCTCCGCCAGACGTTCCCAACAGACCCTCACTACACGCTTGGGCCTGCCAGGTCTTTCCGGCTTCCTCCTCCACCAGCGAACCCAACTCACAACCAGGTGGTGATCAGTTGACAGCTCAGCCCCTCTCTTCACCCGAGTGTCCAAGACACGCGGCCGGAGGTCAGATGACACGACTACAAAGTCGATCATCGACCTCCGGCCTAGGGTGTCCTGGTGAAACGTGCACTTATGGACACCCTTGTGCTCGAACATGGTGTTCATTATGGACAAACCGTGAGTAGTACAGAAGTCCAATAACAAAACACCGCTCGGGTTCAGATCGGGGAGGCCGTTCCTCCCAATCACCCCTCTCCAAGTGTCACTGTCGTTGCCCACGTGGGCGTTGAAGTCCCCCAGGAGAACAACGGAGTCCCCGGTCTAGTACCCCTCCCAGGGACTCCAAGAAGGCCGGGTACTCAGCACTGCTGTTCGGCCCGTAGGCCGACACCACAGTGAGAGACCTGTCCCCGACCCGAAGGCGCAGGGACGCGACCCTCTCGTTCACCGGGGTGAACTCCAACACACAGTGGCTGAGCTGTGGGGCAATGAGCAGGCCCACACCAGCCCGCCGCCGCTCCCCGCGGCCAACGCCAGAGAAATGGAGAGTCCAGCCCCTCTCAAGGAGTTGGGTTCCAGAGCCCAAACTGTGCGTGGAGGTGAGGCCAACTATATCTATTCGGTAACGCTCAACCTCCCGCACAAGCTCAGGCTCCCAGGTCGCCGAGGCCCCCGCCATCGACTGCCGCCCAGATCTCTCTGCACCGGCTCCATATGGCTCCTCCCGCGGGTGGTGGGCCCACGTGCGGACGGCCCCACGTTGCTCCTTCGGGCTAAGCCTGGCCGGGCCCCATGGGGGAAGGCCCGGCCACCAGAGGCTTGCTGACGAGCACCCATCCCAGGCCTGGCTCCAGGGTGAGGCCCCGGTGACGCCAATCCGGGCGACGTAACTGGCCTCTGTGTGTTGCTCATCATGTGGGGCTTCTGAACCGTTCTTCGTCTGACCCGTCCCCCCGGACCTGTTTGCCTTGGGTGACCCTACCAGGGGCATGAAGCCCCCGACAACATAGCTCCCGGGATCATTCGGGCACTCAAACCCCTCCACCACGATAAGGTGACGGTTCACGGAACTCATATTTATATTTATATTTATATATTTATATTTATATTTATATAAAACAACTTAATAAAAGAAATAGGTCCACTGACTCCCATGTAAAAATATTGTGGGCTGATGTCGCCGTAAAACATCTTCACAACAAAGAGTCTGAACCTTCGATGGATGAGCTGCAGAAAACGTTAGAAAGCAGCGGATATTTTTACATTTGTACCAAAGTGACTACGTAACGCTGATGAATATTGCATGTATCACTGATCAAACTGGAGAACAAAATAACTAGAGCACAGTGCTTGTATATCAGTGGTGGTGAAAACAGGGATTGATCACAATATGGCGCCTTGAAAATAAACGATTAAGATTGCTGAAACATGTACAGATGTACTTTAATACCAAAGCTCAGTATTACCTGATACGGCGTGTACTTGATCTGCTTTATGAGCTGCTCATAGTGCACCACCTCCACCATGATCTCCTGGAAGCTGTGTGGCTCTGACAGGAAGTGTGTGACATCGTCCTCTGCCAGGGTGCTCACTAAAGAGACATACTGATCGAAGTTTCTGAGGTACTCTCTGGGTTTGAGACTCTCTTCTCTGAGAACTCGGACCACCTGCTCACGATGGGCCTCCAGGACCTCAGGCAGGATCACAGGCCTCAGAGTGCTGCTGTCACCAGGAGGCTGACAGAGAAGACACAGGCCATCACAGTGAGCTACACTTACACAAACCTGTTCATCCACACGGACAATTGGAAAAACATATTTGAAACATATTTGTCATCCTCCATAAAAGACAAGCTAAACACAACAAATGCAGGACCTAACAGGATGAACAGGAATCCTTTTTTCCTTTGAAAATGTCTTCAAATGTCTTTGGTATGAATCATTACAGTCATGATCCAAAGAACTAAGCACTTTAAGCAGCTGAGTTTGTGACTGGATATATTGTGATAGCCCAAGATAATATTGTGAAACTTTTGATGATACAATACCACAATAACTGTTACATCCCTAGTGACTAAATGATAAAATCTCCATTAATGCTATCTTAGCATTTCTTAACAAAAGGAATTGGAGGAATGGGAGTGTTTTTGTGATTCTATATTGAGGAGCTGAAGCAAACACAGGGAAAAAAACATATGTTTTTACAAAATCTGCATTACAATGCTCAACTCTTTGTTTGTTTGTTTGTTTCATATTTTGTAGTTTGATATAAACCCTTGCTCCTTGTGTCTCCTGACAGCTCCTTCCTCACTTACCCAGTTGCTGTAGAGCCTGGTCTCCACTCTGGGCACCACAGCAGCAGATCGCAGCATCAGGTCAAACACGCTCAGAAAAACTTCCTCAAACATCTCAAACTCAGGCTCAAACTTGATCTCATTGTCCACCAAAACCAGGTGCAGCACGAAGCCCGGGTGCTCGAAGGCTCGCTCTGATGGCTGACCAAACAAATGGAAAGGGAGTTCAAATAGAGACAGAACAGGTCCAAATCTGTCAGTATGATATGTTCACGATATGCACCTCACCGCATCAGATTTATTACCATATTTTGTGGCCAGACAATTGTGAATACGCAAATTAATTAAATTAATATTTGAAAGAGGACACTCAAAATGTGATTATCAGGTTTTATGAGTTATAAGACAATTAAAAATCAAATTCATCTGATTTCTTTTCTCATCATAGTCCTTCTGATCACTCACATCAATGTCATTAAAGCATTTTAAATCTTCAGAAATTTATAATCAGATCATAATCAGATTTTGGTGAGCATGTTAGGTTAGTCACCGTTTTTTGAAATCAAAATGTTATTTTAAGATGGGAGAAGGGTTTGTTCAAAAGAGGGCTGAAGGACGCTATGTCTGTGACAAAGAGCATCTGACTGAAAATCACTTCTGGATGGAAGTCCAAATGTCTTGATTTCAAAAACAGATTAGGTCCACATGACTACTTCTGAAACCTTTCCTATCAGTACTATTATTACTACTGTTACCATGACAACTAGGGCTGCACATTTCAGGAAAAATATTGAAATCTCATTTTTTTGACAAGCATTGGAATTGTGATTAGACGTGTGTGTAGATTTATGTTTCAATAAAAGGACTAAGTTCAAAGTTCACATTTAAACACATCCAGAAGAACTCACAAAAAGACTGAAATATGAACTGACTAATACAAGAATCACATTTCAGAACATGTTTGTACAGATTTAAACTTCTGGGTTAGACCTTTTTCTCCTTTCTTTTTCTCCTTAGAGAGGAGATTTTGTTGTTTGTGGAGGAAATTATGGAACTTCAAAAACTGCAGCTTTTGGATTTTGCTAATTGCGTCCATTCAAATAGTGTTTTGATTGTGATTGATCTTGCAGCCCTAATTACAAGTACTAAAACTTGCACTGTTCTTACTGCTCCAGGTCCTAACAGAGGCTCACCGGATGCTGCGTGATCATCTGGGTGTAGTCTCCCATAGACGTCAGCACTAGCTCCTGCAGATGTATGGTCATGAGCGCGGCTGCACAGTTAAAGAAGGACCTAAACCTGGACGGGTTTCTGTTGTCTGGAATCTGATTCTTCTTGGCTCCTCTGGAGAAGATGGACTGCACCTCTACCAGCCAGCTGGGTTTGAGAGGGACAGAGAGTCAATCATATTGGATAAAAAGTCCCATATTACACAACACTGACTTGTGAGCTTTAAACCATGTTAGAATGTTGGTATCTCATCAAGAGCAGACCTGGAGTTGTGTTTTGTTTCATTCACGCACGTTTGAATAATCCTGCATTATTGCTCTGCCTACACCACCAAAGCTCAAAATGCTCTGTTCCACCTTGTGATGTCATGAAGTTGTAGTTTACAAATGAACAGCTACCTTTTACCTCTTGTACAGCAGATATGGGCAATTCAAGGGCTAAAATCATCCAAATGATTCTAGTGAAGTTTATGGAGTTTAAAAACACAGTGGAGCACTTCCTGTATTACCACATGACATCACACAAGGTGGAACAGAGTGATTTCAGTTTGAGAGAAAAACTCAGCCAAAATATGCAGGATTTATGAGTTAAACAGGTGTGAATTGAACAAAACACAACTGCAGGTCTGTTCCAAGTATGAGAGAGTAATAGAGTAATATGGGCCCTTTAAATCATGAATAAAAAGTGAGGTGGCAGACTGACAGTTTGAGCAGAACTTCGGTCGACTGCTCCACGTGTTCTCCGATGATCTTCTTAAACTCTTGCAGCTCCATGGATTCTTTACGATTGTGGAAGTAACTGACTGTGACCAGGCGTTGATTCTTCACCCTGAGAGAAAGAGCAGCAGCATTCTGACTAATGCTTAAAGGCAGCAGTCTTAAAGAGAGCTCACATGTGTCTGAGGTGAGCTCCCTTTAAGACTAGGCCTCTCTGGGTTTAGTCTCACTTTGGTCGTTGTGGAGAAAACTAAAAAGAAAACAGTCCATAGTGGAGGCTATAGCTGAAACTCTCATTACATCACGATCAGACAGGTGCTGATACTCTGGTGCCTTTTCATATTTATACTGACTCTTTGCCGCTGGTGTCATCAACATTCCCTGAGGGTGAGACTGTAGGCTCCGCTCTGTCTAAATCTCTGTCACGCAACTAAGACTTTGAGCTTAGTTTTAACACACTGAACATAAACAATGGTCTTAGGCAGAACTACAACAGGTGAGATGATTTGTGCTGTTAAACAAGTCTCTCTCACATCACGTTACAGTCACAAGCTCGTGAGCATTAAACAACAGCCGTTAGTGGGTAAGACTTTTTTTAGTGGCAGGAGAACTATGGCCAATGACATGCACTAGTCTAGCACCAGTGACCTCTGCAAATACAAGGACTGGATGGAATATTTCAAAAAGTGTCTCCACACGTCTCCAACACTCTGGCTCACTAGGAAACAAGACCCTATGTCCAAAATTGAGAATTTAGTCTGGTTCCTTATTGCCATTTTTTGACCTTAGTGGGAAGTTTTTGGGGATTTGCTAACCTATATATTTTTAGAAAGGTTATAGTATATGGAGTCAGAAAATCAATGTTTGCATTTGCCCAGATGTCTTTATGGCGGCCATTTTTTAAAAATCCAATATGGCCGCCATAAAGACATCTGGGCAAACTTTTTTTATGAGGCATTTTCTATACATCATCATTATCATCATCACTTTCATACAACCATAGACTGTATATATGAGTGGACAGATCTAACACTGTAGCCGCCATGTGCCAAATAGAAAGTTCTCCAGGAGGCTCTTCCGGCTCCTTCTGACTCTGGCTCCAATGGACTTACATTAGGAACTTGTGGCTCCTCTCTCTGTACCTGCTGCAGTGAGCCTCAAACATTTTGGTCTTAAAATGTTTGTATGAACCCGCTCTACATGATCCTGATTACCTCCGCCAAGGAGGTTATGTTTTTGCCGGCGTTTGTCTGTTTGTTTGTTTGTTTGTCTGTTAGCAACATAACTCAAAAAGTTATGGACCGATTTTGATGAAATTTTCAGGATTTGTTGGAAATGTGAAAAGGAAGAACTGATTTCATTTTGGGGGTGATCCGGAAGAAATCCTGGATTCTGGATCACTTTGAAATTTTAGTTAACATTGTGGTAAATGGGGCCAAAAATTTTGTTTCTCAATATCTCGGTTAATTATTGACCAAACCCCATGAAATTTGACTCAGGGATGGACAATGGGATCCTCTTTCATATTCCAAAGGCTGATCCGGATCTGATCCAGAAGACTGATTTTATCGCAATTTCTATAAAAAATGGGGGTAGTCCTTGGCGGAGGTCTGCGCTCTCTGAGTGCTTTTCTAGTTGTTTATTTTTTTGCTATTTTGTCCATCAAAAAAATCCTATTCATAATATAAAGCCCGTGGCTGGATGAGATCCATCCTGAGTACCTTAAGTCTCTGGATGTTGTGGGTCTTGGCTGACACGCCTCTTCAACATTGTGTGGCGGTCGGGGACAGTACCTCTGGACTGGCAAACCGGGGTGTTGGTCCCTCTGTATAAGAAGGGGGACCGGAGGGTGTGTTCCAACTACAGGGGAGTCACACTTCTCAGCCTCCCCAGTCTGTGCCAGGGACTGGAGAGGAGAATCCGACCGTGGTTTTCGTCCCGGTCGTGGAACACTGGACCAGCTCTACACTCTCCATCAGGCGCTCGAGGGTTCATGGGAGTTTGCCCAACCAGTCCACATGTGCTTTGTGGATCTGGAGAAGGCATTCAACTGTGTCCCTCATGGTGTCCTGTGGGGGGTGCTCTGAGAGTTTGGGGTCCGGGGCCCTTTGCTAAGGGCTGTCTGGTTCCTGTACGACCGGAGCAGGAGCTGTGTTCATTGCCGGCAGTAAGTCAGACCTATTCCCGGTGCATGTTGGACTCCACCAGGGCTGCAACTGTCACCGGTTCTGTTCATTGTATTTATGGACAGAATTTCTAGGTGCAGTCAGGGGCCGGAGGGTCTGGTTTGGGGACCACAGGATCATCTCTGCTGTTCACAGATGATGTTGTCCTGTTGTCTTCATCAAACCAGGACCTGCAGCACTGGGGCAGTTTGACCCGTGTGTGAAGCAGCTGGTATGAAGATCATCTCCTCCAAATCCGAGGCCATGGTTCTCGACCGGAAAAAGGCATCTTGCCCTCTCCCCGAGTGGGTGGAGAGTCCCTGCCTCAAGTGGAGGAGTTCAAGTATCTCGGGGTCTTGTTCATGAGTGAGGGGAGGACGGAACGTGAGATTGACAGGCGGTTCCTTTTTCCTGATATTACCATCGCTTGGTATTGTGATGTCCACCACCACGGCTCTGCTCTGTTTCTTATCCACCACCACTATGTCTGGTTGATCCATCACCATCCTGTCAGTCTGTATCTGGAAGTCCCACAGGATCTTGGCTCGGTCGTTCTCCACAACCTTTGGAGGTGTTTCCCACCTTGATCCTGGGGTCTCCAGCCTGTACTCTGCACAGATGTTTCTGTACACTCTGCCCGCCACTTGGTTATGTCGCTCCATGTATGCTTTCCCTGCAGCATCTTACACCCTGCAGTTCTGTGCTGGACTGTCTCAGGAGCGTCTTTGCACAGCCTACAACGTGGCTCTTGTTTGGTGTGGTAGATCTGGGCCTCTATTACTCAAGTGCCCAGGGCCTGCTCCTGACCTCCAGAATGAGCCTCTGTGTGTCCTTCAGACCCTCTCAAGCCATTGGGATGGAACCCTCCATGCATGGTCAGGAGCTTTCGTGTCTTAACATCTGTGGTCTGTATCTCCTCCTTTGGCCAGCTTATGACACACCAGAAACTAAAGGTTTATCCTGTACCGACATGTGTCAGTGCAGCAGCCAGTGCCAGAATGATGATGATTCCAAAGCCATGTTGTTGCATAGACTGTATAAACGAAGTGGACTAAGTGAGTGTGACCCACAGAGTTCAGTACCACTCAAATGAGGCTTGTGATGTTCACGGTTACAGGAGCCAATCTGGAGCCAGACTCTATATTATGAATAGGATCATGTGTCATGGATTAACACAAACATTTTAAGACCAAAATGTTTGAGGCTCACTGCAGCAGGTACAGAGAGAGGAGCCACAAGATCCTAATGTAAGTCCATTGGAGCCAGAGTCAGAAGGAGCTGGAAGAGCCTCCTGGAGAACTTCCTATTTGGCACATGGCGGCTACAGTGTTAGATCTGTCCACTCATATATACAGTCTATGGTTGTATGAAAGTGATGATGATAATGATGATGTATAGAAAATGTCTCATAAAAAAGTTGTGTAATCATATTGTGTCTAAATGTGTGTGTTTACATCCAACATCCAAATTTTATGTTAGCTACTTTTAAACTCTTTGAGTTATCTGACCAGCTGCATGTGATGTTTATAATTTGTTTTACCCATATTGTTGATGTATTTCAGCAGGATCATTTAAAAAAAAACCAAAAAAACATGTTTTTGGAGGAACATGGAGTATTACATGTGAATATTACAGTGAAATTGCAAGAAAACAACCAAACCGGGTCATTTTTGACCCACTTATTCATCTAAGGGTTAATGTGGGTAGGTCTTACAGGTTTGTAACTAGCACCATTTGATTCCCTGACCCTGAAAATGTGGGTTTAGCAGTTAAAATCAACATTTCAACTTATTCAGAGGCTGAGATATTCCAAAAAGGGTTTTTTGGCGGCCATTTTTTTTTAAATCCAATATGGCCGCCATAAAGACATGTGGGCAAATGCAAACATTGATTTTCTGACTCCATAAACTATAACCTTTCCAAAAATATATAGGTTAGCAAATCCCCCAAAAATTCCCACAAAAGTATATAAGGAACCGGACTAATTGTCTAGTTGAGACTCACGCGGGGCGGTGGTGCCACAGTTCGAGCACTGCCATCATGGGAGGGCTGAAGCGGTGCAGAGAGTCCCTGATCTTGGTTCTGTTGAGCAGGAAAGACTTGTGCCACGGCTTTGGGACGACCACGATCCTGGAACATTCACACAACACATAACCCCATAAGACTCCATTATAATAACACATGATAATGACACATGTAGTGCAGTGAATGGGGCAGTGCTGCGGGCGACTCACTCTTGTCTGTGGGAGGGCATCTCTGTGTTTCTGTCACTGTCAGAGTCCTTGAACCCCCTTTACGACAAAGTTCACTGTAAAGAGTGAAATAACATTAGTCTCATTCATTACTCTGGATTTAAAGGATTTCACATTTTTCTCATTCTGACTGGGTTTGGTGGATAGCACCTGTGGTCAATATTTATCATAGTTTTACATCAGTTAAGTGACAGTTTGTGGAAAAAAGTAAGAAGAAGGAGAAGAAAAAATACAAAATATAAGAAGTAGCACTGAGTTGTAAAACAGAATCCCTCTACCTCCACAGAAAACTCCTTGCAAAATGCAGGGAGAATTTAGGCACAAGGAAGGCATTTTCTGACTGTTTAATCTTTTATTTATTAAAAAAAAAAAAAGTATAGTTATATAGGTTAGGTTAGGTTGCTTTATTCGTACCCGTAGGTAAATTTGCTTTGCAGATTTGAGAGGCAGGTTCCACATTTCACATTTCATTCATCCACAAAACACATATAAAAACACAATTACAAAATAAAGTGTTACAGTGCTCCAGTGCAGAATGGTTTGTTCCATAAACAACCAATTAAATTCATCAATCCATCACAATAAACATTAAATATGTTAAAAACACACAATCTTAGATAAATAGATTACAATTTATTCATAAGTACGATAGCAGCCAGAACGAAGCTCCTTTTAAATATAAATTATATATTATTAAATTATTAAATATGTATTATTATTAACAAAATAATGGTCTTGTCATATATTTTCATGAGTCTAATCATAACTATTGTGTAGTAATAAATAGGTTTTCTGTTTACATTACGGTACCAGTTCTAACAATACACGCATCAAGAATCTCAGACTTCCGGTCATTGCGCAATTCATACTGGGAAGGATTTTCTGAAAAAGTGAACATCAAACCACCATGTTTGTTTTCCCAGTGGGATGTGTCTATTGACAAAGTCGATCTTTTCAAGTCTTTTGAACCATATCACTTTTGTTTCTGGTTCTGATATTGTCATATTTTAGTTTTGGGATTCGGACATCGTAATTGTGTGGTTGTTGGATCCTAACAGTGGAAAACGACTAGAGAAATGTGTTTGCGAACTCCATAGATGTAAAAGTGAATCAGATGTGTGTGACTGCAAACCTGTTTAAACTATTTCCCTTCCCATCGGAATTGAAAAATAGTGAAAGGCGAAGGTGATGGGCAGGATTGATCCACGGGAAGGACGAAAAAGATCATCTTTGACTGACTAAATCATCCTGAGTTTGCAGTGAACATTTTGTATGTGGAGTGCCATCAAAGCAAAATCCCAATCCCTCACTCAGTCTTGGTTACGAATTTAAAAAGTCAAGGCCAAAGTGAAAGGCACCAGCTGTTCATCAAGAAACACCTTCCACTGTA